TCTATGGATTCTTTTAAGGATAGCCAAGAAGGCCAGTGTGTGTTTGTATTTGTTTTTGTCTTCAGGCTAGACTCTATTTTCTGTGCTGATGCATTATCACTGCTTTTCTTGTTGTTAATATCCCCTCCAGTGTACACAGAAAAGGCTAGTGTCTATAATTTGAGAGAAATGACAGAGTGACAGAGAGATACATCCTAATGCACCTGCAGAAAATTTGACAAATAATTTTAGATCAGGTGTCTTTAACCATTTCCAGAGATAGGACTACCTCACCTTTCAGAGTACTGTACAGGTCACGGTGCTTTCACAGGCATTATGTAAGTTAACCCTTAAGGAAACCCTGGTACAGGCATTTTTTAAACAACTTTCATAGAAATGGAAAATAGTGACATAGAAATGCAAACCCAGAATTTCTCACTCTGTTCATTTTTACAATAGTCTTTCATTGTTCAAGGAAGCATTGCTAACATTTCCCTTAGCGACTTGGTAACAGTAGTCTTTGTAGTCCTAATACTGTTCCAAATGCCTGATGTGAATACCTCCTGCTGAAGTTGTAGGTGGATAAGTTCCTATCATTTGAGCTAAAGTAACTTCCGCATTGTCTTATGTGAAAGGTAAATTTAAAGAGTTTCTAAATGGGAAATAATAAGGTCCCTCCCCTCAAAAATGTACTCTCTATGACAGGAATAAGTAAATGTTTTCTGTAAAGAGTGAGATAGTAAAATTTTTTTATTTTATTTATTTATTTATTTATTTATTTATTGACAGGCAGAGTGGACAGTGAGAGACAGAGAGAAAGGTCTTCCTTTTTTTTTTTTTTGTTTTTGTATGGCCGCTGCGGTCGGCGCGCTGCGGCCGGCGCACCGCGCTGATCCGATGGCAGGAGCCAGGAGCCAGGTGCTTTTCCTGGTCTCCCATGGGGTGCAGGGCCCAAGCACCTGGGCCATCCTCCACTGCACTCCCTGGCCACAGCAGAGAGCTGGCCTGGAAGAGGGGCAACCGGGACAGAATGCGGCGCCCCAACCAGGACTAGAACCCGGTGTTCCAGCGCCGCAGGGCGGAGGATTAGCCTAGTGAGCCGCAGCGCTGGCGGAGATAGTAAATTTTTTAAGCTTTGTGGGCCAGAAAGTTTCTGCAAACTTACTCAACTCCATTATAGCACAAAAGCAGTCGTAAGCAACCTGTAAGTTATGTGCAAGGCTATTTTCCAGTGAAACTATTCATAAAAATAGAGGGCAGGATAGATTTGGTCCATGGATTATAGTTTTCTCACCTCTGGCCCAAAAGATGCCCACTTCCATTGACTCTAAAAGAATGGAAAGCTCAAGGTTGTGCCCACTAATGCACCAAAGGAAACATCAAGAGGAGAGCTGGAGGTCCTGATGTTAGGAGATGCTTGTTTTGTTGTATACAGGGAAGGGATAGGTGAGAGGCCGCTCTGGTAACTCCGGAAGACTGTGTTCTCTTAGCCACGAGATAGGATATATGATTCTTTCCTCTGGCTATGGGCTAGCCTGGAAAACACACTGACTCACCCCCTGTGATGCCTTCTGCTCCTTATTGTGTGCTGTGCTGGCAGCCCCTGGGTCCCTGTTGATGAGCAGGGCTCTTTGGTGGTTTTTTAGGAGTTTCCAATCTGGGCTAGAGTTAGAAGGGGTGTTCAGGAGAACAGACATGTGTCCAAAAAAATAGTATAAATAAAAACAGGGGAAGAATCAGCAGAGAGATGCTCCCAGAGTGTGCTGGGAAGACAAAGGCAAGAAAAGTGGGGTTTGTTCAGCGCAGTTGGGGTGACAAAGCAGGAAAGGATGACCCAGCTTGTCAGTGAGACCTGGAAGGGGCAGTTCAGAAGAGGAAACTCCAGGTATGGGAGAGCAAATTGCATAGCAGAGAAAGGCTGAATCCCCTATCTCTGACAGAGGGCCGGTGAGGGAAGGGCAAAGGAGAGTTGGAAGTCCAGCAACACCTCTGTGAGAGGCTGAAAGATGAAGCTGAGAGGCTGCGATTTTATTCCACAGGAAATAGGGGCCCTGGGTGGCTTTTGAGCAGGCACGTAAATAAAACCAGAATGGGGCTTTCCTGAGAGAATTATCACCAGCGGTGTGGGGGCAAGTTAGGTTCAGCAAATGAGCCCCTCAGAACTCAAGAACAGTGCTGTCCAAGAAAACTAAGATGTGAGCCATAAATGCAAGCCATATATGAGTTCTAGATTTCATATAGTTATGATTTTTAAAAGTAGAAACAGAATTAGTTTTAATAATAGTTTCTTATATAATCAACATAAATATGACTAATCATATCTTTCACATTCATTTTAAAATTTTTATATATTTTCATTTTATTTGAAAGGTAGACAAATCTTATGTTCACTGGTTCACTACCCAAATGCTTGCAGCAGCCAGGCCTGGACCAGACTGAACGTAGGATCAGGAACTCCATCCAGTTCTCCCACATGAGTGGCAGGGTCTGACCTACTTGAGCCATCACCTGTAGCCTTCCAGGAAGCTGGATCGCAAGCAGAGGAGTGCAAACTTGAACCAGACACTCTGATAAGAGAGCATCCCAACTGCCACACCAAACACCCTTCCCATATTTTACATTCCTTAGCTCACACTAAGTCTTCAAAATCTATAATGTGTTTTACCCTTAGAACAAATCTCCATTCAAACTTTTGATGTTCCAAGTGTGCAGTGTGGTGGTGGCTACCTGTTGGACAGCACAGCTCTATCACATGTCACAGAATAGGCATCCAGGAGACCAGAGGACAGCCTTGTGAGGGTGCCTGGCTGCATACCACATTGAGCTCCCTTGTGCTCTGAGCTCTTTTTAGAACAACCTTCATAGGGATAATCTCTGTGCTTTCAAAAGGAAATATTTGCAGGATGCTGTGAGTACTTGGAAAATAGTGTTCTGCCTAAAGGTAGGTGAACCACTAAGGTAAGTAAAATAGTGGACACTTTACGTGATAATTACAAGGTTCAATGGGGAGTTTTAATCTTAATTTTTTTTAAGCTAGAAAGTCTCTTAACTACTTTTCTCTTTTTCTACTTGCTGTGTGTATGTGTGCAGGGGAGAAAATGAACAGAGGGATACAGAGAGAAAACACACATAGAGACAGACAGCAAGATGAGGGAGGGAGACAACAGAACAGGACAACCGGGAGTGTTTTTAAGCTGTTAGTACTAGGGACCTGTCCTTATCTACCGAATCAGAGACTGAGTGAGCCAGATACAGGTAGCATCATTAGTAATCCATCAGCAGGTCTGTATTATCACTAAAAATGTAACAAAACACAGAAGAACTTTTTTAAAGTAGATCTATTTTTTATTAATTTGAAAGAGAGAGAGAGAGGCAGAGATAGAGAGATTGATTGGCCTTCCATATGCTGGTTCACTCCCCAGATGGCTCAAAGGCAAGGGCTGGCCAGACTGAAGCCTGGAGCAAGGAGCTTCTTCTAGGTCTCCCACATGGGTGCAGGGGTCCAAGCACTTGACCCATCTTCTGCTGCCTTCCCAGGAGCATTAGCATGGAGCTGGATTGGAAGTGGAGCAGCAGGGACTTGAACTGGCGTCCATACAATATACTGGCATTGCAGGCATTGACTTTACAAGCTACACCACATTGCCAGCCCTAGAACTTTTAACTAGAATTCTTGGAAAGCAAAAAGGAATATTCTGTTCAACTACTTGGAGTGTTGGATTGGGCTGCAGCAAGAACAATGGCTCGGGGTGGGGGGGGCGGAGAAGGAGATACAAGGAGGCATCTGAGGAGCATGCACAAAAAACCACCACCTTGAAAGGAACTACAGCCACCCAAGTCCTTTATCAGACAGAGGACCCCGAGGAGCAGCAGGGATGTTTTCCCCTTTTTTACTTATTGGGTTTTATTGCTGTGTGTGTGTGTGTGTGTGTGTGTGTTGGAACTGAGTTGCCATACCAGGAAAAGGACAAGTGAGGCTATCCCCATTGCCTTCATTTTCCACCTTCCTGCTTAGCTGCAGCACTTTCTCTTCCCCTTCCCCACAAGAAAAGGAGGAGAATCATTTATAACATCACCCCAGGCACTGATTTATGAGCCTGATCACAATATCAAACCCTGAGCTATTCTGAGATGCTCACGTGTATCAGCTGGGACCTAGCTAAGGCTGTGTAGTCTAATGGGCCCTCTAGATGATCTATATTGAACTCCTCCCCACCAGGCAGAAAACCGTTAGCAATACTTCTTAACATTAATGCGCATACCAGTCGCCTGGGGATTGGTGAAAATGCCCCTTCTCATTCATAGGTCTAGGCTGGGGCCCGGGATTCTTTCCTTGTTAGTGGAGGATAATAAGCAGTGTACACTTCTCGTCTAGAGCTGTATTTAGTAAGCTTCTGAACACTGCCTGTGCTGCATGTGTGCTGACCACACATGGACTAGGAAATCCTGAGAACATCAAATATTTGTGTGAACAAAGTCAAATAAACAATCTACAATCTAGGCATTTCATCTTTTTTTTTTTTTTTTTTTTTTTTTGACAGGCAGAGTGGACAGAGAGAGAGAGAGACAGAGAGAAAGGTCTTCCTTTGCCGTTGGTTCACCCTCCAATGGCTGCTGCGGCCAGTGCACTGCGGCGCTGATCTGATGGCAGGAGCCAGGTACTTATCCTGGTCTCCCAAGGGGTGCAGGGCCCAAACACTTGGGCCATCCTCCACTGCACTCCCGGGCCACAGCAGAGAGGTGGCCTGGAAGAGGGGCAACCGGGACAGAATCCGGCGCCCCGACCCGGACTAGAACCCAGTGTGCCGGCGCCGCAAGGCGGAGGATTAGAGGGCATTTCATCTTTCCACAAACTGCGTGCTCCATGGTACCCTTGCCTGGGAGAGCACAGGGGCCTGGGATTTGAAAACAGAGGAGAATTAAGCCATCACAGCAGCCAGCGCTGCCAATCCTGCCTAGGAACACACCTTGCCTTTGAGGGTCATTTATTTTTTTTCATCCTTTTGCCTCTGTACTTTCAGGTATCCAAGCTTGAAAGAGAGAAGACGCAAGAAGCCAAGAGGATCCGTGAGCTGGAGCAGCGCAAGCACACGGTGCTGGTGACAGAACTCAAAACCAAGCTCCATGAGGAGAAGATGAAGGAGCTGCAAGCCGTGCGGGAGAATCTCATCAAGCAGCACGAGCAGGAGATGTCGAGGACAGTGAAGGTGCGGGACGGAGAGATCCAGAGGCTCAAGTCGGCCCTGTGTGCTCTACGGGACGGCAGCAGCGACAAAGTAAGGACAGCGCTCACCATTGAGGCCCGGGAGGAGGCCCGGAAACTGTTTGATGCAGAGCGCCTTAAGCTCTTACAGGAAATTGCGGACCTGAAAACAGCCAAGAAGCAGGTGGACGAGGCTCTGAGCAATATGATCCAAGCGGATAAGATCAAGGCCGGGGACCTTAGGAGTGAGCACCAATCCCACCAAGAAGCCATCTCGAAGATCAAGTGGGAGTCCGAGCGGGATATTCGGAGGCTGGTTAGTAATCCTGGCGGCCCCAGGCAGAACCACCTTCTGTCCAGGTTTCAGAATGCTGTGGGGTTTATTTTTCCGGTGTTTCCTTGTTAGTGGATGCTAATAAACAGTGCACACTTTTGTCTAGTGCTGTATTTAAAATACAAACTAGATCACTAGGGAGGGAGGGAGATCTAAGGAAAGCTAAGGGCAGGCCAAAAATGGATTGCAAATGTAAGCAATTTTGGAATCGCCTTTCTCAAATGAACTTGAGGTTCTCTCAGACCACATGTGTGGAGAAAACACCTACATTCCTGGATATCTGCAAAAATATTCTAAATTATGTGCTCCTCAGAAGTCAGCTTGTTTTGTGGGGTTTCCATTTGTAAAGTGTTACTGGATGTTTTACAGGGGATAGAAAAGTAGCTATAGTTTTCCCTGTGTGTGAAAATGGCAGCCACTGTGAATATCTCAAGTGATTTGCCATTCGATTTTCCAAGAATACTATCTGGAAACAGGACACAGAGACACAAAATCCCTAGTCATTTTAAAAACTGGTCTTTTCCCCAAAATAAACATGGGCCACTTACAACAGGAACCATTATAAATTTTAAGTTGTGTGTCCTTCCTAAGTAACTTTTTTGCTTTTCACAATTTCCAAGACTTACTTCAACCCCTAAAGTTGCCTTCCTTTTAACAAATAGCCAAAAGTCACATGATTTTTTTTACCATGCTTAAAAACAAAACAAATGGAACAATTGTCTGAAAGCTGTAATGCCCTAATTTGAAATTGCCCAGCTATTTTAAAAGAAACCTTTATATTTACTATACTCAGATATTCAGCATTAGTTAAAGTTTAGTTTTAACTTATCAAATAAGCCATCACCTGTTAGAATGTACTTTCTACTTCACTAGAAAATGTATCTTCTTAAGAGAAACTATACTTTCCCTCATGTGTCAAGCAATGCTAAGTAATTGAAGTAATTGTTTTTGAAGAATTTCCATTATGTCCCTTGGATGATATCTCTAAGATTTCAATTTTAAGTTAAAAGTAGTTATCATGGAACACTTTCAAAAACTAAGGATGTATAATGTTCTTTGTACTGCAGTACAATGTGACTGTGAAATGTTGCCTTTGCTACACTTTGCATGCTTTATCTGCAGCTCATTCTATTGTATTTTTTCGATAATAAAGACCAAACACAGTGCAGACATATTGGTTCTGCCCTGCCTTTGGTTTCTGAAACAATAATGACTGAAGAAGAAAGAATCAAGACTGTGAACTCTGAAGCCAGCAGGTAAGTAATGAAAAAGGAAGCTTTGCATTAAGTATTTTTGATTTCAATATAAAATCTGCAAATATGTTCCCTTGTTGATTTGTAAATTGTTTCCGTGACATCATTTCATCAAAGCATACATTAAGTAGCCAGAAAATCCCTCTTAGTGACAATTTAAAAGTTAAGCCACTTTAAAAGTGGTTTGAAAATTGGGTAAAAACAGAATAACATAGACAACTGTTTCAATAAAACAGATGTACTCGTCTTCATTTTTTCATTCTTCCTTATCCTGTTCCTACCCCATGCCCTAATTCCATTTTTGTAACTGGAAGGGAGGGAAATGGGAGCTGTTCTGTTTAGGAAGTTCCCTCAGAGAATTCTGGTATGCATCCCTTTCCATCTATGAAATATAACTTTGGTCAGTATTCAGTATTCTGAGATGAGAGAGCATGCTTATAATCACTATGCAATAGAATTACCACAATAATAATTACTAAGGTACTCCACTGAAAACCAGCATGGAAAATGCTGGAAGATGGGTAATCTTGAGGCAAGAGGAGCATAGTGCCTAAGAAGGGCCTCTAGTATCACAAGAGTGAATTAAAAAATCAGGTTTCAATACTGACTAGCAGATGACTACCACCAAAATTTTTTGTGTTTTTAATTTTTTTTTAATTTGAGAGGCAGAGAGGACTCAACTACTTGAGTCAGCATCAACTAACTCTCAGGTGGGAAGCTCCAAACAGTAGCTGGAGCCAAGAATCAAGCTTAGGCACTTCAGTGTGCTTTACAGGCACCTGCTCCCTGGAGCCAGCTTTTAAACCTTTCAGGCCACCTGTCGTCATCTATAACACAGTGATAACAGAATCTACTGAATAAGACTGCTCTGAAATGAGATGAAGTATGTAAATTTCTCACTTTAGTGCTTTAAATATACTAAAAGATGGATATATTTCAGTTATGATGATGGTGATGATCAGAGTGTTTATGTGGGAAGTAATGGAATCGAGCTCAGTCGGGGAGGATACATCAGAATCAATTAGGAACAAGCAGATTGGGTGCTAAATTAAAATGTATATAACACTATAGATGACAGGTTTGACAGAAAAATGCATTACCCAGTTAAGAATAGGAGTGGACTCACTGCAAAGAGATACAAACTAGAAGTGATATTTGTATTCCAGAATTAACAGGACAGTAATGATCATTTACAAATTATCAGATGACACCATAGGATCATGTAGAATTTAATGCCCTCCTAAAATTGACCTAAAGTTTAATCTTGTGACTTGGTGGCAAAAGCTCACAGATATTTGGAAAATATGAAACTATGTAATGTAATTTCTGCCTCAAATATTTTTTTCTTGTCTAAACAGCGCAACAAAGATTTATACAAAGTGAATTGTTGTTTGTAAAGAATTATTTTGAGAAATAGGAAAATGGTAAAATTTTCTCTGTATTGGATATCTTTTCCCTATTTGCATATTGAATATTTGCATAGAATACAGTAAAATGAGAAGAAATGTTACTGTCAATGACCGGGCTGTCTATTTTACAGTCACTTTGTTATCCTTCATCCAGGAATGGCAGAAAGGTTCCATGGCAGTGGAACGCTGATCAGTTGGTATCCAATGCCTTTGGCTCTGCTTTGAGAAATATTTTTGAGGACATGATCAGGCTTAGCAGAAATGAGTGTTGGAATCACTACATATATCCCGCAGATGAAGGAGGGGAGATAGTGTCTAATATAGCCCCGTTTTGCCATCCCTGTTCGAGTCCCAACCATCATTTTCTGAGCATAAGGGCAGAATGTTTGCTAAAAGCTGGCTGCTGTACAATATGAATGGGAGTGGAAAGAGCCACATGACATGACCCGTGGATGGACTCCTCTCCAAATTCACTACTTGAACACAAACCTGTTAGTCTTAGGAGATGACTCAGTCACTGGGAACTCTGCAGTTTCTTCAGTTGCAAGTGGCCTAACTGTAACAGCTGTTATTTGAACGCAAATGTCCACTCCCCTTGAAGAGAAAGTAACACAAATGTGCTAGGAAACATTGTAGTGGTGTATTTAGTGTCTGTCTTTATCTACACTAATAACCTATTTTAAAGTTTGCCTTTGCTTTCCGTATTTAACCAGCCTAGACCATTTCAAGCAATCTACTGAATGAAAACATCTACACAGGATATAGTAGAGAGAAAAATGACTCTCCTTGACATTTAATTAACCTCAACAGCCGTTCATTTCACAATGTTGCTCAATGTATTCATGAATTGAGTACACTTGTTATGTCCACTTTTTCCTGATTTCATTTAGAAGAAAGAAGTTAAACTCATACCGCTATGAAAATGCATTTCTTCACAGCATTGCTAAATAAGAATATTCTGGGTCTCGTTTAATTCAGATGGATGAAATCAAAGCCAAGGACAGGATCATCTTTTCGCTGGAAAAGGAACTGGAGACCCAGACAGGCTATGTACAGAAACTCCAGCTGCAGAAGGAGGCTTTGGATGAGCAACTCTTTCTCGTCAAGGAGGCTGAGTGTAACATGAGCAGTCCGAAACGGGAAATCCCAGGAAGGGCAGGAGACGGCTCTGAACATTGCGGCAGTCCTGTAAGTCTGTCCAAGTTGAAGTTCAGAACTCAGGAGTCATCTTTTATTTAGCTTCCAAATTTTTCTTTTCACTTAAGCACTTTTCATTTTACTACAAAGAAATCAATTTTACCTCTCATTATACCACCAGCTAGTATCTTGGGAAGAGGGTTTTCTAAACTGATAGACAGCAAAAGTGGTCTGTGCTGCATTAGTAGATCACGTGAAAAATATGGCTCTCTTTAAATCCCTCATAGAATTTTCTAGGCAAGCAATACCTTTCCAGTTTAAGTCTATTATAAGAATCATAAATTAGATGGAAATATTTTACCTCTTGCCAAGAATAATCATTTTCCCTTATGCGAACAATTGGGTTAGAAATTGATAAAGAAGGTTATCATTTAAAGGGATCAAAATGTATAACTGTATGAGAAACTAAACCGGTTATGCTCATCCTGTGAAAGCTTCTAGTCTTATTGAACTTGCCACTCATTTCCCTTGATGTTCAACACTTTATATAAGAAATTATTTTCAAAAGTGCGATGATGGAATAGGGCTTGTCTGTAGTTTGCTAACACATCTATACCTTTCAAGTTATTAGCTGCTAAAAAGATGAAAATGTATTATTTAAGAACAGAGATGAGTTCTACTAAAGTACTACTTAGTACCAAGTGATGAATAATTCAAGAATTGGTATTCAAGAATATATATAGTCAAGATATATATATATATATCCTGGTGGGAGGTAGAGACAGTACTGATCTAGGATTTAGCAGATGTATGCTTTGGTTCTATCACTGACACCTGCAATGTGTCATACTTGTGGAGAAAATAGCATATATGTGTAATATATTTGATTTATTGATTCTAAACATGAAACCTGAAACAGGTAACAGCCTCCCTGATTTTTACCCATTCTGCTGACTCTTGGAGAGTATTGTGACTCTAGAGATACAATAGGTGTGAAATTGCTGTGTCAACAATACTGCACCAACAAAATGTAAGATGATAATAAAATTGCAAGTATATGATAATAATCCTATGGACTAGCTGAGAGGCAAGCCATGATTGCTGTGTGTAAAGTGATTTGTGGCAGTTTTGTCAGTAGGAAAGCCAGTTGCACTAGGTAAAAATATACCAGCAGAGCCTCTCCTACCAACTGCTGCTTTTTTTTTTTTTTTTTTTTTTTGACAGGCAGAGTGGACAGTGAGAGAGAGAGATAGAGAGAAAGGTCTTCCTTTACCACTGGTTCACTCTCCAATGGCCGCTGCGGCCGGCATGCTGCGGCCAGTGCACTGCGCTGATCTGAAGCCGGGAGCCAGGTGCTTCTGGTCTCCAATGCGGGTCCAACTGCTGCTTTTTATACATGAAGGTCACACGCTGACCTTTTCTCACTCTGACCTTTTCTCCAGGGATATGCAGGACTTTACAAGCCCATTCCCAGCTCCTACCCAGTTCCCTCTTTGGCTACGTGGAATAGCAGTAGATCTGTGTAAGCAGTGGGGAGCAAGATGCATCCACGACACAAGGGTTGTTCCTTGATCTCATGTAATTACAACGGAACCATGGTCTCGGAGGACACAGCTCTGAAAGGCTGATTCAGCCTTCTGCTCCCCTGCCCATGAGCCCAGCCTTTGGGGTGTAACTGCTACAAGGGAATTCATTTGTAATTTCAACCAGGATTTCTCCTAAATTCAAACCATGAATATTAGGGGGAAAAGTAGATAATTATTCTTCTCTAAATAAGAGAATATTTTACTCTCAGTAAAGAGAACTGTGCCAATTAATTTTATGAGCAGTATTCCAAAAGTGAAAAGTGTTATCAAGGAAATAACCATTTTAATTTTCATCGGTAGGATTTGAGAAGAAATCAGAAGAGAATAGCTGAATTGAACGCCACTATAAGAAAATTAGAAGACAGGAATACTTTGCTTGGAGATGAACGAAATGAATTGGTGAGTTACATCAGAATGTTTCTACTTTATTTTCCTGTTAGGCATTGTGTTAGAGAAGTATATATGAAGCTTTAGAAGTAAAACATAACAGAAAAAAGTACACATTAATAAATATTCACAACTTGGTACATCCTTATAACCCTCAAATGGATGAATACGTGGAAAGTTACCAGAATCTCAGGACCTCCCTTTTGTGTGACCCCTCCTAATCACCATCCTTCTAAAGTTAACCATTACCCTGACTTCTGTAGGCACAGATGGCTCTTACCATTGGTAAACATTTTTGTCAGGGGAATCATGCAATATTTTCTCTTTTGTGTCTGGCTTTTCTTTAGCATGATATTTGTGATTGTATAACATGTAAGATTCATTCATATTTTATTATTCAATGAATAACATATTATTCAAATTGGCATTTGTCTTATTTAAAATTTTCTGTATCCTTACTCATATTTGTGTCTGCTTATTCTCCTAACATATTTGTCTATATCTCTTATTTCTTTCAGTTTGCCCATATGTATTTGAAATTGTTTTACTATATGCATATAAATTAATATTTGTTACATGTTTTTAGTGTACTGAGCTTTTTACCACTATGAAATTTTTCTCTGGTTATACTTCTTGATTTAAAGACTTTATTATTATTAATTGAATTATATCAGGTTTTCTTGTGTTTACAAAATCTGTGTATACATGTATACATACATATATATTGCTTTCTACTTTCCTTTGTTATATATTGGGTATGTCTTTTAAAAGAACCATTTTATTGGGTACTAGAGGACTCTTATATATGAAAGAATTAGTTATTTTCTTCGTATTTACATACATTTTATATGAGTTGTGTATATTAAGCAAATGTAATTTTTTAAAGCACATGTCATTGGCCACCCAAAGAGACACAGATTAAGATAATGAACCTAATGGAGTAGTTTATTTATCTTTTTATGCACTCAGTAATTAATATTAATGATTCAGGGATGAAAGTTCAGGAATTGCAGATTAAGTCAAATTATTTATGAAAAATAAGCCCAATTTTGGTCGTTGATATCCAATTGAGACTGAAGATAGAATTGTTGAAATGTTATTCAAGAATCACAATGAGAGGTCTTTCATACATTCATGGACAGTTATGTTTCCCCTGTCACAACTTCCTAAAATGTCAGATTCTCAAGCACAAGAGGGAATGTTTTTAAAACTCTGTCCAGATATTTCCGATTTACACCTTGCCTTTCCTTGCTTTGGTAGCTCTACCACCTAGGCATATCCACATTCAGAATCATTCATATGAAAATGATGAATTAATCATGAGAACTTCAACTTGGAAACCTGTTATGTATAGGATGATCATAAAATATATTATCTAACCGAGAGACTTTGGAGAGTAAAAGGTAGAACTATTTTTTTTGGACAGGCAGAGTGGACAGTGAGAGAGAAACAGAGAGAAAGGTCTTCCTTTGCCGTTAGTTCACCCTCCAATGGCCGCCACGGCTGGCGTGCTGCGGCTGGCGCACCGCGCCTATCCGAAGGCAGGAGCCAGGTGCTTCTCCTGGTCTCCCATGAGGTGCAGGGCCCAAGCACTTGGGCCATCCTCCACTGCCTTCCCGGGCCACAGCAGAGAGCTGGCCTGGAAGAGGGGCAACCAGGACAGAATCCGGCGCCCCGACCGGGACTAGAACCCGGTGTGCCGGCGCCACTAGGTGGAGGATTAGCCTATTGAGCCACGGCGCCGGCCAAAAGGTCGAACTATTAACAATTACTTCCAAGACAGCAAGTATAAATTTAGATCAGTGGTTCTAAACAAGAGGTGATCTGGGTAAAATCTGGTGACATCTCTGGTTGTCACAACTGGCAGGGTGTTACTGACATCTAGTCGGTAGAGGCCAGGGATATTGGAAAACATCCTACAGCACACAGGAATGCCCCTAACAACAAAAAATATCTGGGCCTAAATGTCAAGGGTACAGAGGTTGAAACAGTCTACTTTAGAATGACCAGGCAAATGAGAATGTACGTATTGTCCCTCTTGATTGTGAGTGGTCGTAATACAATCATACTTTACTTAGGCTTGGTGAGGATTGGATATTCTTAAAGATAAACATCAATATAGTTCAAAAATTTCATGGGATTTTTGCCCAAAATAAAGCTTATTGTGAGTCAGGGGATTCTAGCAACATCTCTGTGGGACAGAGCAGGCTTTGGAGACATCAGGATGGGATTCAGGTCCTGGTTGCATTGCCTAGTGACTGTGAAACGGATGAGCTACTTTGTCTCTCTCAGCCAATGAGAGGTCATCCCAGGTCCAGGGCTCAGAGTTGAGCATAGTGAAGTAACTGCTAGAGAGAAAGCCAATCCAACAGGGAGGACTTTTATCCTCAGCATTTCCATAAGCAGTATCTCCGCAGCACCTGTTAACGTTATAGATTGATAGCGGGTTTGAAGACTGATGAAAAACCATCAGAGGGAATAGGAAACAAAGTAAGTGATCCATTCCATGAGGGACTGCACTGTCAGTGTTCAGCCCTGAGACACATAGTGCAGAAGGCAAAGGTGGTGATAGAGGGGTGGTCACTCTCTCCAGTTGATTCTCCCTGTGCCAAATCCCACCCCCCAACCACAGGAGACAATTTTTCATTTATTTCTTCCCAGTTAAAACGCGTGCGGGAAACGGAAAAGCAATGTAAACCTCTCCTGGAAAGGAACAAGTGCCTCGCCAAGAGAAATGATGAACTGATGGTGTCTTTGCAGCGCATGGAAGAAAAACTGAAAGCCGTTACCAAGGAAAATTTAGAAATGGTTTGTATTGCGACTCTGCAAAACTGGAGCGCCCTTCCTTAGGTTACTCCAGTCACCTGACTGTTTTCTCTGCTTATTTTCTAAATACAATGCTATTTGGATTTCCCCTTATGTAAGCAAGGAAGAAGGCAAGAGAAGTCTGCTGGCTCTGAAGTTTACGGGGTTTCTAAATTTGCAGAACCATAGGAGTGTTTCCAGGAATCTACATGCTCTCCAAAAGCTCAGAAACTCCTCAGCCCCAGAAACCTCCTTCAAAGATGTCATTAGCATGCTCTTTACACACCTTGACAGCAGGAACACCTCAGCAGCAAGGATCTAGTAGTAGTTGGGAGGCAGATACCATCACTTGTATTATGTATGAACAAGTGATATGCTAATGTACTCCTTAACTGACTTCTAATACAGTTAAAGAGACCTTCAGATAATCCCCAACAATTTCAGTGCATTATAGCAGATCAAATATACTCAAGGGTTTTAGTCGGTGTGTCTGTATTCTGCACAGCACTCATTTTTACATGGAATCTCACAGATATTATACCAATATTTTTTGCCAACAGTGAAGGTTTGGGATTTTTAAAAACTCTACCTGTATTTTCTTCTTTTCCAATCCAGAAAGAAAAAATAACTTCCCATCCACCTTTGAAGAAATTAAAATCTCTGAATGACCTTGACCAAGCGAATGAAGAACAAGAGACGGAGTTTCTTAAACTGCAGGTCATTGAGCAACAGAACATTATTGATGAGCTCACACGGGTAGGTCTGGATCAATCTGTAAACTTTAAGCTGTTCCCAAAGACAAGAAGCCAGCAAATCAACACACACTGGAAGTTTTAAATAATTTTGGATTACTCCCAGAGGCCCAAGTGCAAATGTTCAATATATAATTATGTTCAAGAGACTGTATTCCAAAGATATTTTATGTTATTAAATTGCTTTATACCTTTTCAAATATAATCCCTTGTCATCTAATCTAGTTGCAAATAATAACTGCGAAGCACATTAGGAGAACTTTCAAATGCGCATTACATAAGTGGGTAGGTAGAGTGACTATGTGTTTGAACTGCCTTCCAGTATACCAGGATCCTGATACTTAGAGATTAAATATTTTGCCTAGAATAACAGGATCGTATCCCAATATTTTCCAGCACTTAATATAGTATCTAGTACATTGATGCCATTTAATTAACATTTGTTGAATAGACAGCAATACTGTAATTACCTTATGGAAGGGAAATTCCAGGCCAGATTTTTCTGATGATTACTTCAGTACCTACTGAATAAACAGAGCAGTTATCACTCCCATTTGTAAACTCTGGTTGTCTTGGGGTTTTCTTCTTTACCGCTCTGTCTTTATTCTGTGAATGACATCTTTTGTCACTCTCACTTCAACACGAAGCGAAGGCCTAACAGCTGAAGGAATGAGCAATGGGTTTTCTATCAGAAGTCTCCAGAGTAGGGCGAGCAGGATGGTTCACTGTTGTCAAGAGATGGAAAAAGTATAGCTTCTGTGTATAATTTTTTGAAGTCTGTCCTTTTAACAATTCCTTGTTGAGTATGTGTTGTAATGTGTATATAAGATTAGAAGGACTAGGTAAATACATAATTAATATATTTTAAAAGTTAGACATACTGAGGTTGCATGATCAAAATATGTTTACTTATAAGGGTGAGAAATCAAAAAGCCTAAATATCACTGGCTTAATCAAGACTATTTTTCAAATGTAGTCTGGAGCCAAATCTTTCACTTCAATTCTACATCATAATAACCCATAAATCTACAAGATTCATTAGCTCAGGAACTTCCCTGCCTTTGTACATTCTGAGATAAAGCGGTGAATTTGTTACAGAATTTGGGGCTCTTTAGGCATATTATTTAGAGAACACTTTTTCCTTATTCCAGCCAGTTTAATTTTGTGCAGTAAATACATAGAGCACTTTAGTGGATAAATGCCAAATGCCCACGACATCTCCATTCACAACAGGATTGAACCAAGAAATTTATTACTATTTCTAGGTATTGAGTTTTCCAAAGAATTGGAAACAATAGCAACAAATGAAACAGTGCATTCCAACCTACCAATTCTTTGTTCTCTGTCCATTTTCAGGGGCTGCAAGTCCATGCAAGGATTCAAAAACTGTCAAAAGACAGCTGTCTATGCTTTACAAATTACTCAAAAGAATGAGGTTTTATGGTATTTTGAAACAATATATTTTCTAACACAAATTTAAATTAACTGTGGGATTGGGAAAATGGAAGAACAGTGCTTTCAGGAAAATAGCTATTTAAAAGCTAGTTGATTTTCAAGTATAAAACAGAGGAGTCAGATGAGGGGAATGGTGCACTTGCGAGACTCCACATACATTGTCAAGAAAAATAAAATGTTCTTACTTTGAAAATACATATCCACAAGTAGACAAAATTTAATCCCCCCTCAACCCCCTAGTCTTATTTTAAATATAATGCCTTAAGGGGAAACAATTCTGTCTTTACAAAAAAATAAATAAGCTATAAAGAAATATGTACCAACTCTAGATTTGAAAACTCCATCTGTTTTGCAGGACCGAGAAAAGCTCATCCGTAGGAGAAAACATAGAAGAAGTTCCAAGCCAATTAAGGTAATGAGAAAAGTGGGTTAGCAGGCATTGCCACAGCCAGCCAGAGAGCTGAGCCTTGCCAGGGAATCTTCCTGCAAAAATGTGGTCCATCGTGGGCTTTATTTGCTGAAGAAAATCTCTTCTCCTGAGATTTCTCAGAAGTCAAAGAATGATTGTGTTGTGGATCTTGACCTAAAAGAGTTTTAGTTTCTCTGAATAGAGAGGGCGCTAGGTCTTATGTGTAAAGGGTCATCTGACAAGTTGGAGAGTTATACTCTAAAAATAAGCAAGCAATAAATGTGAGTTGATGTCTCCTACTAAGTAATATTGCAGTCTGATGCACATCCTATAATTCATCAATGTGTTTTCATCATTCACTTGAACAATATTATTGATAATGACATTGCTAATCCACCGATAACTGGATAGCATTTTGTAATTCACAAAGTCTTGTTATTTAATTAAATAACCCTTTCCATTTACATGTATGCCAATTGGCACTGTTTTAATTTGTCAACTTTCTCCACTTTTAGTTGTATCAGTAAATATGTACATTTCCTCTATCTAGAGACCTGTTCTGGACCCATTCATTGGCTATGATGAGGACTCCATGGATTCAGAGACATCATCCATGGCCTCATTTAGAACAGACCGCACACCAGCTACTCCTGATGATGACTTGGATGAAGTAAGCTTGTCCGCATCTCTAGAACTGGATGTTATTGTCACCGACTCTTTCCTTTAAAAGAAAGAACATGTCATTTTCCATTTCATTATGAACAATACAAAGCAATCGCTTAATAGTGACCAATTTTGATACCACTCTTGGTTTTGTTTTGTCTTGAAAAATAATTTCTCCTATGTTGTGTAACCCTCTTAGAAACTTCTTTACTGTTCAGTTCTTAACTTGAAGATTTCTTTCAAAATGAAAGTTAATTTCTGAAATTCTTCATTTATGGAAGGTGAGAATCAAAGAATATGTTCACAAGACTCTTGGATAAGTCTAAGGCAGTGCTTAGTAAAGTGTAATCTGTGGATCACCATCGATAGAATGATCAGGGGCTCAGTTGCAGTGAGAATTCCTGACTCTCCCACACAACTCCTGATTCAAGTTCTTGCATTTTCATAAAATTCCCCGGTGACTGTGTTATGCCCTGAAATTTAAAACCTAAAACTGCAAACCAGTTTTTTGTAATTCATCTGGGAAACAAGTTGTTGAATATCAATGCACTGAAAAGAGAGCAAAGCTCTGTGTAACCGTTTCCTCAAATTTAGATCCAAAATCTGGGAAAAACTCATTTGAATCCAAAATAGGTTGACATCCCAGGCCAAAATTGGTAATAGTCAGAACTGTATAAATAAGTAAATGCTTCTTTTATTAAATGCTTACATATTTTGCAATGTCCATCTTTATATTATTATAGTGCATATGTCTATAGGTACACTTTAAAATTAAATATTAAGGAACAGGAGTTTACTCTAGCACTTAAAATACCCATGTCTTGTATCAGAGTGCCCAGGATTTCTGGTTCTAGCTCCTGGCTCCAGCCATCTGTCAATGCAGACCCTAGGAGATAGCAGTGATGGCTCAAGTAACTAAGTACCTGCCACCCACGTGGGAGACGTGGCTTGTGTTTCCAGCTCCCAGCCTCAGCCCGAGCCTAGCCTCAGCACACCCACTCTCTCGCTCCAATTAAAAAATTGAATAGAAATAAGACAGAGTGTTAAGTACATCTCTAACTTCTCTTTTAGAAGTGGACACATGCTAGTGTTTCATAGTGAATGCTGGTCTTGATTATAACACTATTTTTTTTTTTTTTTGGCTGTGTTTTTAACCTCAAGGGCTTAGCAGCTGAAGAATCTGAGCTACGATTTCGACAATTGACAAAAGAATACCAGGCCCTCCAGAGAGCATATGCCCTCCTGCAGGAGCAGACGGGAGGTATCATTGACGCCGAACGAGAAGCGAAGGTTAGTGTGCATCTCTGGAGAGTGCTCAGAACTAGCTTGCAGCAGCAGCACAATAAAAGGGCCATCAACACAGAAACCATCAGGAGGCAGCCCTCCCTGCTCTGCAGCTTTTGAACTGTTAGCCCTTTCATGTCAGTAAACCTTGCATCTAGAGACATTCCAACCAGCTTAGATCGATGCTTTTGTTCCTTTAAAGGTAGTTGAGTGTATAGTTTCTGCTGTTTGAAAACTTACATTTTCAAAGCTAGACAATAATGGATTTTGATAATCCAGTTTTAAAATTTCTTACTCGGAAAAAGAACTTTTATCTTTCAAAAGTAATGATTACCAGTTTCTGAGCAAAGCACTGTATTTGAGAGCTTACCAAGAGTTCTCTCAGACAATCCCATATAACCAATAGCTATTAACCCTGTGTATCCTCTGTAAGAAACATATTTTATAAAAGAAGAATTTGAGACTCGGGTTAATTGAATTACCCAAGATCACACAACTCGTAAGCTGGGATTCCAGCTCAATTCATACTAGGTCAGATATTCTTTCCATTATTAAAGTCCTCTTAAAAGCCTATTAAAAAATCAAGAAAAATGAATGAAAAGAAAAGGAAGCACATATGCTACTAATATTTAACATTTATTAAGGCTTGCCCTGTTCCATGAATTGTACTGAGCAATTTACATGTACTCAGATACTTCAGAAAGTTCAAGAAAAAATGGAACTAAAAATAAGTTATTCTGATGCAAAGAAAAAATGAAATCTGTGCATTATTTTTTCATAACATGCATCTTCCATGAACTTTTTGAAGACTCCTCATATTACCTGTGTAATCCTAAAGCAATTCTATGAGTTATGTACCATCATTATCTCCATTTTGCAAAACAGATCATAGCTAAGTAGAAGTTAAATTTGGCTTACTTAGGTTAAAGCAGACATCACAAAGCTAGAATATGAACCTAGGCTTTCAAGTCATTCCCACTATGCTGGAAGTGCCTCATAGCTTAGTTTACATGAGACAAGAGGGAGCATGACCATCCAGTGATATTCTCCCACCTTTTTTCTGGAGTGTCTATAATACACGGGTGAGTGTTGAAGGAAGTACTGTAAGTTGTTTACTGGGAAAGGATAGATGTTACAGCTCCATGTGTTTAAGTGGTATCATGAAAGTAAACACAGGCACATACACATACATGGTAAACATGTCTCAGAAAACACTGCGGGGGTGGTCACTGCGGTGCAGTGGGTTAAATCACCACTTGGGGTACCCACATCCCATATTGGAAGTCTGAGTTCAAGCCCTACCTCCACTTACAATCCAGCTTCATACTAATGCACCCTCTGGGAGGCAGCAGGTGTTGACTTAAGTACCTGGGTCCCCATTATCCACATGGGAGGCCTGGACTGCGTTCCAGACTCAATCTTCAGCCTGGTCCAGCCCTAGCTTTTTTGGGCATTTGGGGAGTGAACCAGCAGATGAAACCTCTCTCTCCCTTTCTCTCTCCCTTCTTTTTAAATAAATAAAAATAAAGTATTCACAGAAGCTCTGTAATTTGGAATAGAGAGGCAAGCCAACACAGAAATGGGTGAATGGATGTACCTGTGTGCATCCATGTGGATGCCAATTGCAGTATTTGTGATTCTTCGCTACCCATATTCATTATATATTTTATCAACATTCCAGAGGTGGGAAACATTTGTTCTGTCAAGAGCCGTTTGGTGATTATAACATCATTCATGGGCCATCAAAATTATCAATTTAAAAATCAGCCTTGGGGCCAGCGCTGTGGTGTAGCGGGTAAAGTCGACACCTGCAGTGCTGGCAACCTATAATGGGCGCCAGTTCGAGTCCCAGATGCTCCACTTCCAATCCAGCTCTCTGCCATGGCCTTGGAAAGCAGTAGAAGATGGCCCAAGTCCTGGGCCCCTGCACCTGTGTGGGAGACCTGGCAGAAGCTCTTGGCTCCTGGCTTCGGATCAGCACAGCTGCAGCCATTGCAGCCAATTGGGGAGTTAACCAGTGGATGGAAGACCTCTCTCTCTGCCTCTCCTTCTCTCTCTTGGTGTAACTCTGACTTTAAGATAAATAAATAAATCTTTTTAAAAAAATATCCTGCTGTAGATGAATTGAATTTTGTGGCCCAAGGGCTGCATGTGCCCTGCCCCTGGTAGGCAGGCCTTGTTCGCCTTGTTTGGCTTTTGAGAGGCGGTATTGCAGAAACCAGTCCTCCCTTTCTCATCTGATTCTCCCATCTGATAAAAGGTTTAGGATTATCTCTTACCATTAAAGCCAAAAACTGACCTTTCTAACAAAGTACTCTAAAAGAAATCGAGATGTTGGAAAAAGAACAACAAGTAAACTCAAAGAATGTAGAAGTGCAAAAATAGATAATATAGATGAAAGAGAACTGATGAAAACAATCTCACTTTGCTATAAGGAAAAATCAGTTATAATCAGTGCCTTTTTAAAGATTTATTTATTTTTTTGAAATTGAGTGGCAGAGATACAGAGAAAAAAGGAAAGAGAAAGAGAAAGAGAGAAATATCTTCCATCCACTGGTTTACTCCCTCAAATGGCTGCAATGGCTGGAGCTGGGCTAAACTGAAGCCCAGAGCCAAGAGCTTCTTCTGGGTCTCCCATGTGGTGCAGAAGCCCAAGCACTTGGGCTGTCTTCTGCTGCTGTCTTAGGAGCATTAGCAGGGAACTGGATCAAAAGTGGAACAGCCAGGACTTGAACAGGCACTCATATGGGATGCCAGTACTGCAGGCGGAGGTTTAACCCTCTATGCCACAAAGCTGGCCCCTAATCAGTGCCAATTTAAGGTTAAAATATACTAGCAAAATTTAACATAGACTTTTTACTTGATAAAGGTAAATATAATATTTAATAGTCCAAAGAAATATTCCTCATAATGAAAATTAGAAGATATTTATTATTGCTTGTGTGTTTAACTTTATACAAATGAGTCTATCCTTATCATGAGACAATAATGAAAATACATGTGAACGAGAAGACAACAAACAAAAAAAGCGCAATTTTTCACTGAAAATTTGATGGTACATGGAAGATAAGATAATCTAAAAACAAAAAAGTAGACTAAACAGTGTAATATAACAAGGTGATTCTTTTCAGGATCCATGTCCATAGCTATTGAAGAGCACATATGTGTGCTCACAACACACATTCCCCATGATAGGTAGACAGATGGGTGGTAGATTGAGATAGAGATTGATTTAGATTTAGATGTAGATCACAAAATTGGCAGTGATATAATGAAAAGACCAGATGGTACAAGGCTTTCCATTCAGATAGAGATGTGGAGAGGTACAAGGCATACTTAGGAAACAAGGATTTCATCGGCAGATAAGGGGTAGAATCTGTGTTGAGTAGTAGGAAAGGACTAGATAGCGAATGGGAGTTCTTGGATGCCAGGCTAAGGAGTTTTAACATTCACCTGGCCATAAAGGGAGCCATGGGGAATTTTAAGCAAGCATTTAAATCATGAAGATGGTTTAGAAAGATTATTATGCCATAGAAAATTCTTTTTTCCTCCTCTCACTTATCGATTTCTAGTTGAGGAACATGAGAGGAAGAAAAAATGTTGACTGACCATTGTTGTTGTCTGGAATTTTATTTCACCAGGCTCAAGAACAGCTCCAAGCAGAGGTGCAGAGGTATAAAGCCAAAATTGAAGATCTGGAAGCGACTCTGGCTCAGAAAGGGCAGGTAGGCTTCTGGTTGCTAGCTTTTCTGCAAAAAGCAGTTGGAGACAATTCAGTGGACTTTCTTCTAGCTCCCCCCGACCCCGTGCATGGGCTGCATCCAGGACATGGCTTGGCTCTCCACAGTGACCTTCCCCCAACTGTGTCAGGGTGTTCCACCCTCTATTTCTATCCCTGGTGTTTTTCTGGCCAGAGTGTGAACCCCGTCACAATAGTGAATGAGGCTGGGCAAGAGAGAGAAACTCTGTCCAAATAGCCCAGGATTGTCATCAAAGTGCCGAGACCAAGGCCCACCCCTGCAGCTGCATTCTCTGCCTCTCCGCTCCATTTACGGCTCTGCATTTTAATGTTCTCCATCCATATGTCCCTAGCCTCTGTGCATTCTGACCTTTTTCACTTCTTGCCTGTGTGGTCACTTCTGAGTCCCCAGAAGGCTGGTCCTGGATTATTCATACGGAAAAGGGTAGAGGTAGTGAGTGGTGATGAGAAGGGAGCGGAGGTTTTCCTGGCACCTTTGGCCCCAGTGTCTTTGGAGAAGGAGCTGGCAGGGGTGGGCGTCACTTACCAGTCGGTGGCAGGCAAACAAATGGGGTGGAAAGAGGACAGCTCTGGCAAGGTGGTTTGACGACACATGCTCTTTCCCGCCACTCTGAAATGCTGACTGCGCGATATTCTTTGTCAAACAGGATTCACACTGGGTAGAAGATAAACAACTTTTCATTAAGAGAAACCAGGAGCTTTTAGAAAAGGTATGTTGGGCGTACCACCCTAGTGGGGCAGAGGAGAAAATGAGATCCAGGAGCAGCAGGGGGTGTTCTCAGGAGTGGCACAGGGGCCAGGGCAAGGGGAGGCTTCTCTGGCGCTGCTCTGTCCTCTGCTGCCTGCTCCACTGCATCCCTGTCACCGCCATCACCATCACGTCAATGGCACGTGTGTGCATGGCTCTGTGCTGGGCGTCGTGCAGACCTGAAAGATGCGATCCCTGAGACAAGCCGATCTGTTTTCCAAATATGTCTATATACATACATTTACGGTAGAGATAAGGTCCATAGATGTACACAGATGCGCACGTCCTACATGGTTGTCCATGCTCCAGAAAACACTATGAATAGGTAGCACTTGTTACTTTGTTCGAAGAAGTGAGAGAATATGACTACAAAACCATGCCACAAGCCATCATGCCTTCTCACTGTAGTCCCACTTTTGATCTTTTGCTAATCTTGGAATGTTTTGAAATGCATCTGAGGCACAAAATAGTGCATCCAGGAGATCAGTCAACAAACCCACGTGCACAGTGTGGTGTAGGCCCAGCAGACATAATTAGTTTTGGTTAGCTGAACACAGACTTTTGAGTTGGAATGAGTAAATATAGCAGAGAACATTTTAATTTCAAAGGTGGCTTCTCCTTTGGAATTCACTTTTCACAAACTTAGTAAGAGATTATAAAATAATCTTACATTTTCTTTGACACACAGATATAAAGAAACGTCTTTGACATTGGTCCTGTTCTATGAATTGTAATCTGAGAATCACTGATCCAAGAGCTTCACTAATCACCAAAACCAGCAGTATCCTCAAATATTGCATCCCTGACCCACACAACATTCTAGGGAGTAGAATCTCCTTTACAATCCGAGTAACTTTTAAAAACATATGAAAGTTCATTAGACCAAAATTACCTAATTAAAATAAATTAAAAAGAAAAAAACCCTTGAGTTGACCACACTGTTGTCACAATTTCTATTTTCCCACCTTTATTTGCCTATTAGTCTCAGAGACATCCAATAATAAGCTTTATTTCATCTCTTTATAATAAAAAAATAGACCCCCTTCTATAACTTCTGATTTCCTTTCCTTTTTATTTTTGGGAAGCCAAGAATAATTTTTGGGAAGCTTCTAAGAACAAATGGAGAGCAGAAAGAATAATCAAGTGGAACATTATATTTCAAACATATACTTTTGACAAGTAAGATCATTCTGTTATTAAACACACACACAAGATCATTCTGTTATTAAAACACACACGCACACGCACACGCATACACACACACATCTTGGGGCAGGCATTTCGCCTGGTGGTTCAGACTCTCACATGTCATATACAAATTCCTGGGTTGAGTAAATGGCTCTGGCTCCTGATTCCAACTTCCTGCTAACGCAGACCCTGGAGAGCAGCAGTGATGGCTTGAGCTGTTTCCAACACCCGTATGGCAGACCTGGATTGGGTTCCCAGCTCCATACTTCGGCCGAGCCCATTCCTAGCCATTGTGCAAAATTGGGGAATGAACCAGCATGTAGGGAACATTCTTTGTATCTACCTATCTATCCATCCATCCATCTATCCATCCTGCCTCTCAAAACAACATATTTCTAAATTCAAGTGTTTATATCATTTATATTTCTAAATTCAAGACTTTAAGTTGTCACTGTACATAGCACCAGCACACAAAACTAATGTCAAAGGAAATCCAAAACTAACTGCAGTTCATAAAAATTTTCTGGTCTCCTGAAATCTAAAGATGATTCAGAAAAAGACTTATCTACAGGGAAGACACACTTGGATACAACCAACTTAATTCCATGCTGCATCAGGTTACATTGGAGGTCTTCTAAGGAAGTCCTAGAGGAAAACCAAAGGAGGAGGTATTGCTTCTGAATGGGTAGACTTGGGAAGGAAATGGAACACTTCCGCAGATAGAAAAGAATGTAGGGAGTCCTTTTTCGGCAGAGGGATGAGTACATAGAAAGCTCCTGACTAGTCTGTCCACAGAGTAGATAAGAATTTCTAGATTTCTGTGTATGCATGACCACATGTGGATGTGTGTGTGGGAGTGTATAGGGATGACAATGACACTTCAAGCTGTAAAGCTAGGTGGTGACCACCATTATCAGCGTCCTGAATTTCAAATTAAGGAGTTTGACTTTATCCTAGGTAATCAGATTCAGCAAATTTTTCTAAAGATTGCAAACTGTTTTTAAAAAAGTATTTCTTTGCCATCTCCAGAAATGAGAAGTGTCAATCCTCCTTATTTTCACCCTTAGCTCTGGTTCTAATGCCCTGTTCTGCCCTCTGTGAGGGCACAGTGAGTATGCTCAGATCAGTATTCACAGAAGCCCTGAACTTCATGCCCGGGAACACAGATTTCTAGCATTTTTTTTTCTCTGTGGCTCAAAAAAAGCCAATCCAAGAATAGCTAGAAAGAAAGCCGAAGACTGATTTTGTTTACACGTCCTTAGGAATATTTTTCATGGTCTAGATGATTACTCACTGAGTAAATGAATGCTGTCCATGCTTGCTTTGCTAAACTGTAGTTGCTTTTAACAATGCTCATCTAACTTTAGGATTTACTTTATTAGATAGAAAAGCAAGAGGCAGAAAATCACCGGTTACAACAGGAACTACAGGATGCCAGAGACCAGAATGAGCTGCTGGAATTTCGAAACCTAGAGCTAGAAGTAAGAAAATGCTGATAATCATCGCAATTATAATCCTAATGATTTCACATACACTGAGGCACATTGGGGGCAGGAGTTCAATTAAGCATTTTGGATTCATACTTTCATTTGGATCTCACCATCACCCTCAAGATTTCATAGCTGAGGCAGCTGAGATTAAACATTGTGCCCGTGTCCTGTGACAAGGAAGTGGTAGAGGCTTTGTGCAGCTCTGGACTGCTGGGTCAGAGACTGTTCTTTTTAGCACTGCTGCCTTCGTAGAAAAGACTAACACGTAACTTTTAAATAATTTCAATAGGTTTCAAAGCTCCTTAATATTTCATTGCTTTTAAATTACGATTCTGTCATTCACTGGAACCTCACTTATTATCTGTTCCTTTAAGAACTAGATATCAAAATGTGCTATATAATAGCAAACTAATTTACAGTTACATTTGAATTTATAAGTCAGCTTCTTAGTCCATGGTGCATTTATGCAGAAGAAGGCTAAGAACCAAGTTAACATTAGAGGGAATATTTTGTTCAGTAGTACCAAATTTCAGGTGTGAGCTTCTATTTTATTTTGTTTAGCTTGCAAAACAGAGCAAATTGGATTTGTATTATATCTTGCAGAATATGGCAGAATATTAATCTATAAAACTAGAAGAAAGAATTCCTATTTGATTCCTCTGTTATTTTGCTGGTGGTTTCCTCATAGAGCTACTTCAAATTAGATGAGGATAAAGAGTTAGCAGTTGGTAGCTTTAGTGAGGAAGAGGTAGCTTTAGTAAGTCATCTTTCATGGCCCACATATCCTACTCATAAAATTTGAGTGTATTGAATATGCAAAAGACTGTTAGCTACCATAAAAATTAATGGCGAAACCACTCTTTGTGATGTCTGAAAGCTCTGCATATGAATATCATTTACACTGGAATCCCACCGCCCTGTATTACTCCGATCAGAATATTTGTGAGAATGAGTGACACTGTCTTTAATTTCTCCTCTGCCTTTGGTTGACTACTCAGCCCTTTTCCATTAAATTTAAACATGATCATCTTGAGCTATATTTTTCTGCCAAATGGCATATTAATAAACTGCTGAAACAGCATAAAGAGACAACTGCTTTAGTGTTTAATCAGTTGCTTTTTTTTTAACTCCCATATATTCTTCACTGTATTTCAAGGAGAGAGAGAGACGCTCCCCTCCATTTAATCTGCAAATCCACCCATTCTCAGATGGTGTGAGTGCTCTACAGATCTACTGTATGAAAGAAGGTGTCAAGGTAGGCAGACATGTAATTGTTTGTTTGTAGAAATTAGAAGTTGTGTCTGATTGTTGTCTTTCAGTGCCTGGATGTAGGAATTGAGAATAGTCACATCTATTAGAAAATCCATGCAACATAAACAAAACAAAGGTGTGACAGATGTATAAATGGTGACAGCAAAGAGCACAGACAGCCATGGTTATTTAGAACAAAGTAACATAAAGAAACAAGCAGAATGAAAATACTTATTAAGATAAGTAGCCTTGGCCAGCATCATGGCTCACTAGGCTAATCTTCCACCTGCGGCACCGGCACCGCGGTTTCTAGTCATGGTCGGGGCACCGGATTCTGTCCCGGTTGCTCCTCTTCCAGTCCAGCTCTCTGCTGTGGCCTGGGAAGGCAGTGGAGGATGGCCCAAGTGCTTGGGCCCTGCACCTGCAAGGGAGACCGGGGAGGAGGCACCTGGCTCTTGGCTTCAGATTGGCAGAGCACGCTGGCTGTAGCAGCCATTTGGGGGGTGAACCAACGGAGGGAAGGCCTTTCTCTCTGTCTCTTTCCCACTGTCTAACTCTGCCTGTCAAAAAAAAAAAAAAGAAAGAAAGAAAGCCTAACTTATGCCTGTCATTGAAAAACCATACTGTCTCTGTGGCCAGGGGCAGAGGCTCTGAGCATCTTGGTCACAGGATTTGTGAAAAGAAAAGGCAAATCATTCTTAAAAAAATAAATAAATAAATAAAAATAAGTAGCCTTAGGGCCCATGCTGTGGCGTAATGGGTAAAGCAGTGCCAGCATCCCATTTGGACGCTGGTTCAAGTCCTGGCTGCTCCACTTTCAATCCAGCTCTCTGCTATGGCCTGGGAAAGCAGTAGAAGATGGCTCAAGTCCTTGGGCCCCTGCACATGCGTGGGAGACATGGAAGAAGCTCCTGGCTCCTGGCTTCAGATTGGCATAGCTCAGCCGTTGCGGCCAATTGGGGAGTGAACCATCGGATGGAAGACCTCTCTCTGCTTCTTCTCTCTCTGTGTAACTCTGACTTTCAAATAAATAAATGAATTAAAAAAAAATTAGTAGCCTTGATTATCTAGGAGAAATAGGAAATAAATTCATGGCTTCAAGAAAGGCATTTCAGGCCTGCCAGTTTTTAAAAACCTGTCTATTGAGTTTCATATGTTGTGTTGGTCTGTAACTGGAGCTGTGGAAGTCATCATCGTGGAACTTCAGACTTAGGAGAGACTGCAACACCATCTAATCTACTGTCTCTTTTGATGTGTTTATTTAGGTATGATTTCTCTTTGGGGATGGCTAAAGGTTTATAACATGTTGTTTGTTAGCTAAAAAATAATTCTATCTTTAGTGTCATTGGAATAGATTTTATATATTAAGGCTGAATCAAGATGACTCTGTCTCCCATAAAATGGATTGTCCTTCAGTGTGATGAAGAAACAGTGTGACCATCTATTCCTAAGATCAAGCTAGGGTGCCTCCTGCTCGTCCTGGTCTCTCCTTGACCTTCTGCACGGCCCTTCCTGCTCCCTCTCTGAGCTGCCAAGTGTCCTTGCTTCAGTTGCCTCCACTTAACCTGAGTGGTAGACAGAGCTAGATCTTCCTTTACCTGGTGGCAAGGCTTTGCTACACTGCTGTTAGAGCATTAGTAAGAGGACACAGTAGTGCTGACAAGATAAAAAGTGGGGTGGGGATGTGTGTGGAGGGGAATAGGTAGCACGTGCTTCCTTGTCCTTTATCCTAAACCATGTTCAAGGCATTTATACCTCTGCCTTCCTGGGCTGAATGAAAATTTGTAAACCAAGACAACTTTTCAACTCAATTTAATTCAGTGAAAAGCAGTGTACTTTAACTTTTCCATAGTTTTTTTTTTCTTAGATAAATCACAAATAACCTAATCCAATGTGTGTTGTAAACTATATCCAAGAAAAACCTTGTTGGTGGAGTTCACCTGCTTCAAACTGACTCAAGGAATAGAATAAAAATTAGCTATTTCCCACAGGATTAAATTAATGCTAAACACCTAAAAATGGAGCTGCACTGTATTTTTCTATGTGGCAGCCAAAATTCAACCAGGTCAGAATAGCACTCAGGAATGAAATTGCTTGATCCTTTATAGTCATTACCTATTACTTTTCTTTATGTTTGAAATCATGATTTTTTTGAAGATTGTCAATTTTTTTAAAAAAGTTAATGAATCGGCCGGCGCCGCGGCTCACTAGGCTAATCCTCCGCCTAGCGGCGCCGGCACACCGGGTTCTAGTCCCGGTCGGGGCGCCGGATTCTGTCCCGGTTGCCCCTCTTCCAGGCCAGCCCTCTGCTGTGGCCAGGGAGTGCAGTGGAGGATGGCCCAGGTGCTTGGGCCCTGCACCCCATGGGAGACCAGGAAAAGCACCTGGCTCCTGGCTCCTGCCATCGGATCAGCGCGGTGCACCGGCCGCAGCACGCCGACCGCAGCGGCCATTGGAGGGTGAACCAACAGCAAAGGAAGACCTTTCTCTCTGTCTCTCTCTCTCACTGTCCACTCTGCCTGTCAAAAAAAAAAAAAAAAAAAAAAAAGTTAATGAATCTATTCTTAGTTCTTATGCTCAACTCTTTCATATAGTCTTTCATTTTTAATGTCAGCCTATGAAATATTTATCACTATTTTGCCACCAGCAAAATTGAGAATGAGCTGTTAAGTGGTTTACCCAAGTTCACTCAGCTTATAAAGAGCAGAGTAGAGGCTTAAAATCACAAATGCCTGATTAAAAACATCCAATAGAAGTACAGGTCCTAGAATGTCTTCTGTGGGTTTGTGTGAATGTGGCAATAATCAGTAGCCTATATTTGTGTCTTTGACTTGAATGCATGTCCTTAATTTTGCAGGATGTGAACATTCCTGATCTCATAAAGCAGCTTGATATCTTGGGTGATAATGGGGTAAGTAATGAATTGATTGTATAAATATGAATTTGCCTAAGCAGAGGCAAGAAACACTTGCCAGTGCGTCATGTATAAAATAACAGCACATGAAATATCATGTTCACTTAGGGATATAATTCTTGGAGAGATGCTCAAATTTATCAAACATCTTGTCTAAGGGAATATAGGATCTCTGCAGGGTAGTGGTGGAAATGGAACCTAATAAGGAGCTTTTCTTGAGCAGGTTTCAGGTTTGAATGCCACCACATCTGCAGTGATTAAATCTAATTAAGATCTGACTGTTGCTCGGAGGCATCCAGTATGAAATTAATCAGTCATGCTATTGCAAATGCTGGTAAAGGCGGGAGCTGTTGGCAGTCCTATAAAACTGAACCAGGAAGATTTGCTTTCTAAAAACACCATCCAGACAGGGTCAAGGCATAGTAATTCAGTGGGAGGAACACTCATTGTGATTCTAGATGAATGATACTTGTAGGTTGAAGGAGTCACCATTTTTAACCTTGAAAAATTATCAAGGGAGAGAACAGGAGCAAGGAAGTCACATCAAAATTACTATAAAGAGACTTCTGTTTATTTCATTTAGTTTCTGTTTTTGTCTTAACATGAGCATTAACGAAATAAGATTACAGTGATACAAAATTAAGTCAGTAGTAGAAAGGCACCAAAAAAAATCACATTAAATAAACTTCTTTCAAGTTTTGAGTGAACTCTTTCCTAGGAATTTTTATTACACACAATAGAAATTTCTTAAAGTTCCATGCAATAGAGGTGTCTGTAGCAGGCAGTCAGGAAGTATTTTCTATATTGTAAATATTATTAGTCTCTTCAGCTTATTTCCTTTCTTTTTTATTTGTGTAGAATTTAAGGAATGAAGAACAAGTGGCCATAATTCAGGCCAGCACTGTGCTGTCCCTGGCAGAGAAGGTAATGAGACACACTGACATTTCAAGTCATTTCTGTGTCTAGCTTGACAACTAATGACGAGGGAACGGGGGTGGGTGACATTCCATCTGCACATGACTTTGCATCATTGAATATGTCATAAATGGCCTATTTTTGAGGGTGCTACAAACAGAATGAGAACACGCAAAAGAAAATCTACATACTGATTTGGGGGGTTGGATAATTTTTATTTAAAGTCCCTTAAAACATATCATGAGAAACCTGGTTTGCATTATTCACGTTGAAGCTCCCAAGCTGGGAAACAATGGAGAGAAGTTTGTGGAGAAGTGGTCACCTGGAGCAGTGTTCTTGCCGCAGACAAGAGTGTTTTCGTGTCGGTTATTTCCCTGGACGTATACAAACCAATCATTTCCATCTCATTCTATCACTTGGTGGTGTCTCACTGCAGTCTGACTCCCAAAGCCCAGTGTAGGCACCATCAGCAGAAAAGCATCACTCGGTGTGCTCTTGCCCCCTTGTGTCTCAACGTGGTAAATAGTGAGACAGAAAGAGAAGGAAAGAGCGAAGTGGAGAAGCCAGGTAACTGGTTGTATTCGGGGTGCCTCAGAAATTGACAGTTAAGTCACATGCCATATGGTTGCCTAAAATGAGAGTTTCACATATTCTCTAAGTTACTTTCCTCACCACTCAACCTGTTGAAAGGTTGTTGGAAATTCCATGAAAGCTGAGCAAGCAATCAGCTCTCTCCCATCTAAAAATGCAGAGATTCTGCAGATCAAATAACACAGTTAACAGACTTAAATAATTGTGTAAACAGAAAACTATGGGACTCAGAGAAAAGTATTGCTATAATGTAGAAAGATACTAAATAAATATTCAAATGATTCTTTTTTGGGTAAGAATTTAAGCAAACCATGTGTTTTATTGTTTTTTCTAAAAAGACATTTACTGACAACTGGGAAAATTTTTAATATGGACTGATTATCAGATGACAAAGGAAATTAACTTTGCAAAATTTGAAAATGGCTTTGTGATTGTTTTTTAGAAAAGTAAGCCTTATATGTTAGAGATACATATTAAAGTACCTGTAGTTACATGTGAAATGACAGAAACTTTGGAAATTACTCATTAAAAAATTACTTCCTTTAAAATGGGTTTGCATATCCAATCACTTTACCATTCCTGTCCCCAGCTAATTAATTATGCCACATTGTCCTTAACAGAAGGTCCAGAATCCAATATTTAGCAAGAAGGCCTCCCGGGATTTTGCCCTTAAGTCCTTACCTACTTACTTATCTAGCATCCTCTCTCTCTCTTTCTTTTTCTTCCTTCCTTCCTTCCTTCCTCCTTCCTTCCTTCCTTCCTTTTTCTTTCTCTCTCTCTCTCTCTCTCTCTCTCTCATTTATCTGTTGATCTACCTATCTGCCTAGCTATATCTAGACATCTGTTTCTATCCGTCTCTAGCTCTCCTTCCACCTCTTAGTCCTTTACACTCCTGTTTTACCTGGAGGATACTCCCATCTTCCCATTCACCTTCCTGACTCAGTCTCCCTCCGTAGACTGCCTCATGCATGAAGAGGCCTTGTGTTGACCTGGGCCCAGTTAGGTGCCCTTTCTCTGTGCTCTCTCAGCAACCTGCGCTTCTGCTCCCATGGTTTTTAACAGTTGCATTATAACTGCCCATTTACTTTTATCACCCCCCATCCACCTACCACCAAACTCTAAGCCCCCTGAGGACAAATGTGTTACCTGTTCCCCACTTTGATCCCTATCTTCACACTAGAACAGTTAACTAATAGATTAATAGATAATCAATATGTACTTGCTGATGGAGTAAATGAATGAATTTGTCCACAAGACACTCTTCCAGCAACACAAAGGGAGACACAAGAGTAAAGAAAGCACTATCTGTGAGGCTAGTTCTCTTCCTTTTATTCAGCAATGAATCTCATTCAGCTGGAAGCAGGAATGGTTGCAATTCTTTGTTGCAAGCAAAATTGCCTTTGTTTAGGGCTGCACAGAAAACTTTGGCTGATTCTGTGACAGCTGGGGTCTGGAGAGTGAAAGAAAGGGAAGACAACCTTGGGAACCTCAAGTTTATTTAGACCAACGGGAGAAATTCCTCCCCTCTCTGTGTGGGTGTGGTACAGTATGCACTTAATCATAATGCCTACTTGCATGATGATTCTTCTGAGCTGGCCATTGTTTCGACTGCTATCCATGTTGTATTATTTCCCAAGATGAACCTAGAGCAAAGAGAAAGGTGGTAACTGCCCAGGGTCACACAGCTGGAAGTGGATGGAATCAGGATTCACATTCACGCAGTCTTGTTCTAGGGCCCGTGATCTCAACTATTGAACCAGACTTCCCCTCAAGCATTGCGTTAAAAAGCAGAGGTAGACATGCCCAGCTCACAGGGTCTGGGCTGGCAGAGCTGTGTCTAGTCAGCTAGTGCCTCTGCTTACCTCCTTTGAGAGACAGATGTCAGATTCAACTGAACAAACACAGAGTAATGATTACCTGGTTAACACCGTGATAGAAAGCAAGGAACAGGACTTCCCTGAAGTGTCCATAGTCTTGTGTGAATGCCTTTTGTGCAGATGTTTGTAATTGACTGAGTAAACTCATCAGCTATCTGGGGATTCACAGAGAAAACTTTCTACCTCCAAGAAATTCCAAAAGCAACCTTGAATTTTCAGACTACAGATCTGAATAACATTCTGCCATATGGGATCATGATCTTTAGCCAGAGTCTGAGTCTACAGAAAATTCCAACCAGCAGATTCTATTGTGGCTTGATATTAAAAGCAATCACCTTGTGTGGAAACATATTATGAGCCAACAGCTGTGCTAAATACTGTAAAAAAATCTCATTAGTTCTTATAATCATTCTGTAGATCCTTGCATTTTCATTTCACATATGAGGAAGCCAAGACCTGAAATAGTCAGTAACAGGAGGAGCAGTATCCAGCATACAACTCTGTATCTAAGCTCATGATGTGGCTGTTTTGATTCACAGTTCTGTTACAAACACGATTTTGTAAAAATGCATTTCTCAATGGAAAATGGCCATGAGCAGCAGAAAGGAGGTTAGTAGAGTGTGAGAGTCAAGTTAGCAGAAGCTCATGGCTTTGATTGAAATTTCTTTTAAGGGGAAGCCATGTATATGTACAGAGAATTGAGAGATTAGTACCAAAGAATCTCAATGTGCCTGTCTTCTTTGTTCACCACAGCTAGGCATGGTTGGACCTAGTTTCTCCTCATAAATATCAAGTCTCCAGTGTGTAGAAATGCTCAGTGCACCACATAATTTATCACAGATGAACTTCAAAGAACTATGAGGTAGAAGAGTGCCGTTGGTACACTCAGTGTGTAATGAATAGTGCCTCATGTGAATTATTTCTTTTAATCTTCACATTAGAATTAACCCCATTTTACAGATAAGAAATTTGACTTAGAGAAACCAGGTAATTTTTCAAGGCCACTCATCCATGAAAAACTAGAATTGATACTTGAAACAAAGTCATCAGCCTCCAGGACCTACACACTCAATTATTATGCCCAATTGCCTCCCTAAGGTATAAGCTAACATTTAACTTGAGAGAGGACTATTACAATAATTTGTTCTGCTAAACCATATAATTGGTCAGCTCATAGATTATTCCAAGTCTGAATTCATTCCTGGTGTTTCTTAATGCTAACATCAATGCCATGTAATAGAACTGATGTATTCTGAGTTTTAGGAAAGATTAGTTCTTTTGTGAAATTTAAAATTTCTCTACTTAACAAAAATAATATTCACTACTTTGCTATAATCAGTTTTATATGCTGGAAAGTTATCATTTTGTTATTATCATCTGGCCTTCCTCATGCACCTTGTATCTGTAGTGCTACCAGATACAGTGTCCCTTCTGCCTGGAACTTCCTCCTAGTTTTTCCCAGTCATTTCTCTCTCATCCTTCAGATTCCAGTGCAAATATCACTTCCAAGAAAATCTTTTATTATGCCTCCCAATGACAGCAAAAATCTAACTCATCTTGTTCACCATCCCAGCTGTAGTGCCTGTCAAAGTACTTGACACATGGTAGACATCAATGAATGCATTTATTGCATGAATGAATGAATGAACGAAAAGAGGTTTATAGTCTAGTTTCTAAACTGAGGGATAAAACTGCATTAAGTTTTCCCTTCGTCTCTCGATCTGCTTCCTGAGATGTAGGGGGAGGAGACAGGTACATCTGTGTACAACGCTCAGGACCCACACAATATCAAGCATAATGTCAAAATGATTGTTTTGTTGACCCCTTAGTGGATCCAGCAGATTGAAGGAGCAGAGGCTGCCCTGCACCAGAAAATGATGGAACTGGAAAGTGACATGGTGAGTGCAGAGATGAAATATCAAAAGAATTAAGAAAAATGTACAAGGCAAATAGAAAATGAAAAGTACCTTTACCAATTTTAACTAGCATTGATGAAGGATAATATTCTTCCCATTATTTTCTGTGTTGACAGTGGAGCAAAATACTCAGCAGTATCCAGTCATTTCAGCTTATAAATAGAAGAGATTTTTTTACACTGTATTCATAGCAGCATTATTTGCTATAGCCAAAAGATGGGAAGTAACCCAAAAGTCCATTGATGGGTGAATGAGTAAACAAAATGTGGTATATGCATACAGTAGAATATTTATTAATGCTTAAAAAGTAAGGACATTTTGACACAAACTACAATATGGATGAAATTTGAGATCATTGTGTTAAGCGAAATCAGCTAGTCATGGAAAGTCAAACGCTGAATGATTCCACTCCCATGAGGTATTCAAGTCGTCAAATTCATGTAACAGAAAGTAGAGTGTGGTTGCTAGGGGTTGAGAGGAGGGAGAAATGGGAGTTGGTCATTGATGAGTATAGTTTCAATTTTGCAACACAAGTTCTTGACTCAGTTTCATAACAGTGTGAATGTATCTCATACTATCAAACTCTACACTTAAAAATAGTGAAGGTGGTGAACTCTATGCTGTATGTATTTTTATCACAATTTAATTTTTTAAGTTCCCAAATCTAGCAATTGGTTACCATTAACCAAAAGCAATGTATGTAACTTTACAACAAAACAACCACTGATATTAATTACTAAAAAAGCATGTAGTGGCTTCCTGTTAGGTTAAGATATCCTGTAATAGGAACAACAATTTGCATTTGTGTAGCATATTGTAAATCATTTGCTTACATTTTATGCAGGGTTCATATTTACCAAGAGGTTGGATGCTAAAACTAAAACCTAGAACAAAAAAATTGTTTATATTAAAAATTACTCTTAGAAGCCCTAATAGTAATCAAGCAGTCAGGCTGTACCAGGCAGTGTTCTAAGCACTGGCACCCAGGGATGATCAGAAAAGTCATCAACAAAATCATTGCATTCCTCTATTTTCTCAAAAGCCAACACAACTGGATTTTCCTCCAGGGTTGGAAGAGATCCATGTTCTTCCAGTTAAATGCCAAAGAAATCATTAACTTAAATTCAGGACTGTGTGGTATACAAAGATATAGTGTTAAATGCTCATGGCAAGACATTATGATATGAGGATCTGAAATATATGAGGGAACATTGGATATATGCCTCCTAGCTCACACTGTCTTTGGGACAAGAGTAGACACCCATTCACTAAGTTGTAGTATGAGTGGAATCATCTCCACTCTTTAAATTGTTAATTATCAGGGTGGGCATTTGACAGATGCCACTTGGATGTACTTTGTCAGAGTGACTGGATTAGCATTCCAGCTCTGTTCCCAATTCTACCTTCCTGCTAGTTGTACCCGGGGAGATAACAGGTGATGGCTCAAGTAGCTGGGTCACTGCCACCCATGTGAATAACTCAGATTGAGTTCCCAGCTCCTGACCTTGGCCTATCCCAGCCCTGGGTCTTATGAGCATTTAGGAAATAAACTGGTGGATGGGATCTCTCTCTGTCTTTCTCTGTCTCTCTCACTCTCTCTGCCTTTCAAGTAAATAAAATAAACACACATTAAGAACAGTTATTTATCTTTGTGTTTTTTATTTTTGTGTTTTCTAGTTGCAAACAGATGAAATAGAATAAGTTAAATTTGTTTATTATGCAATCCTTCGATATTATGTAACATGACACTCTCAGAAAACATACCATCACAGAAGCGTATATATTCCAGTACCCTCCCCCAAAGATACCAAAATATGAAGGTGTTAAAGCCCCTTAGATAAGATGTTATAATATTTGCATTAATTTATGCAGATCCTCCTGTATACTTTAAATCATCTCTAGAGGACTTACAATACGTAATGCAGTAAAAATGCTATATATCCTGTTGTTATCCTGTTTTTAGAGGATAATGACAAGAAAAAAATCTATACATGTTTAGTACATATGCAGTTTTTTCCCCAAATTTTCTCAGTCCATGGTAGGTTGAACCGGTGGGTACAGAACTCAGTGATGTGGAAGACTGGCTGTTTGTACACAGACAAGATTCTTATTTAACACTTATTTTGTCAAAAGTCTATAGTTAGTCACATACTCTCAAACTGGTGTAAAAATCTATTAGAGAAATCCACATGGCTTTTCATTATATCTTTCATGCTGCTGTCTATCGACTTGGGCATTCCCTGTGTGAGACCATGAAAGTTGAACTATTCCTCTAACAGACAAAAATTTATGACTCTGCAAATACTAGTGATTTGTCCTAAGGTCAGATTAGAGAAAGTATTAATCGGTTCAACTCATATGTCAATTTAATTAACTAAACTGGCTTTTTCTATTAATCATTGTGCTACTCTGTTATAGGAACAATTCTGCAAAATAAAGGGCTATCTAGAAGAAGAACTGGACTACAGAAAACAAGCTCTCGACCAAGCATATATGGTAGGTACAATAGGCAGCAGACACCCAACATGTTTACAATTACATATTATGGAATAAAGCATGCCAGTTATGTATCGTGCCATGTGCATGATTAGGCCACAACATAAAAGCATTGATTCATTGGTTTCTAGTTCTAATTTCAGAACAAATATGAGTAGTCTTTAGAAGTTTCATGGAAATATTCATTATCAATGATAATATTCTTATGTTTAACATACTTTATTTTCTTAAAATATTAAATGTATGTTAAAAAAACATTAAAAAATATGAGGACTGATTGGTTGGCAGTATGAATTGATGAGAAATTTTATAAAATCAGATCCAGTCATTTGGGAATTTAATCTGGTGGCTGAATAATAATGCATCTAATGCTTGTTATGCATATTTTAATTTATCTGTTTCTCACAACAATCCTATGAGCTATATATAATGATATTATTCTCTTCACGCATTTAAAGAAAGTAAGGCTCAGAGAGTATAAGAATTTGGCCAAAGATGTTTGAAGAGTAATGTGTGTCTCTAACTTCGGGTAACTTCAGGTAGCAGCTGGGCTGACTCCCGCACGCCAGCCCCAGCAGCGCGGCTGTGCTGCTGAAGGGAGTGTGCCTTTCATTCCCGGGGTAGATTCTACAGCTGGAGGAGCACACCTGACCCAGTCCCCTCCTCCCAATTCATGCTGCACAATTCTCGATTCTGGACTGCAGCTCATGTTGCTTCTCTCTTTATGCCCTGCCCCATTAATTCACAGTGATGAATCAAAGAGAAAAAAAAAAAAGAACCTAGAGAGATATTTCAAGGAGTATAGAAGAGGTTTTTATAATGCTTTCCTGGAATCAGCTTGAGTCACTTATGGGAAAAGGCTGAAGCATTTATACTCTGCTTATAACAAAGATGAATTAATCTTCCCCATCCAAAATGAGTAAGAGATTCTGAACACTGATGTGGAAAAAAAGAGAATGAGACTTGGTCACTAATCAGAGAACAAAGAAGGAAGTGAGTTTCCCCTTCCCTTCCTACTCTTTCTCCATTACCTCTTATACTTGCACATAATAAAATTAAGCAGTATGTTGTTAAGGGTCCCAAGGCTAGTGAAAGCCCATTAGAAAATCATATTTACTTTTTTTTAAGATTTATTATATTTATTTGAAAGGCAGAGTTACAGAGAGGCAGAGGCAGAGAGAGAGAAAAAGGTCTTCCATCTGCTGGTTCACTCCCCAGATGGCTACAACAGTCAGAGCTGCGCCAATCTGAAGCCAGGAGCCAGGAGATTCCTCTGGGTCTCCCACGTGGGTGCAGGAGCCCAAGGACTTGGGCCATCTTTTGCCGCTTTCCCAGGCCATAGCAAAGAGCTAGATTGGAAGTGGAGCAGCTAGGACTCGAACCAACGCCTATATGAGATGCCAGCACTGCAGACTGGGGCTTTAACCCACTGTGCCATAGCGCCCCCCCATACTTACTCTTTTAAACATTTATTTATGAAAGAGTGACAGAGAGAGAGATAATAAGAGATCTTCCATCCTCTGGTTCATCCCTCAAATTGCCTCAATGGTCAGGACTGGGCCAGGCCAAAGCAAGGAACTTCATCTGGGTCTCCCACATGGGTGCAGGGGCCCAAGCACTTGGGGCATCTTCTGCTGCTTTACCCAGGTGTATTACCAGGGAGCTAGATTAGAAGTGGAGCAGCCAAGACACGAACCAGTGCCCACATGGGATGCCAGCATCACAGGCAGCTTTACTCACTGCGCCACAATGCCAGCCCCTATATTTAACTTTTTAAAGAAAGTATATGCTTGGTCTGAGACAAGAACTAGGCAAATACCCTAAACCAGGAAATGTCTTATCACTTCATTCAAAGTGACAGGGAATAAGTTTGTAGATTTTGGCCACTGGATCTGAAGCATATTTTTTTAAAAAATTCATGTGAAAGACAGTAGACCCTTCATCTAGCTAGAATACTTGTTTCTAAAGGATGTTAATCATGAAGGAAGTCTAAAATCTGAAGGGCTGCAAGTAGAAGAGAGAAGAAACTTATTCTCAGTAACATATGAGATAGGAGGGAGTAAAGTTATCATAACAAAGTGAAGGCTTTCTGAAAATGAAAAGTATTTGAGGTTGACAAGTTCCTAAGAAAAAATGAAATAAGCCTGACACAGAAAGACAAATATCACATGTTTTCTCTTATATGTAGAAGTTACTATAGAGGGAGTAAGAACCTATATGACTGTCATATTTGGTATTTAATTATAAATGTCTCACTGCACTCTACCATGCACACAACAATATACCCTCCTTTGCTCACTTTATGTTCATTGTCATGAGTCCCACATTTTGTGATATGAATATCGCTGCTTTCAAGGAAAGTCTATATGTACATGTATTAATATCTACATATGAAGTGAATGTGGCAACATGTTAAAAATTATTCAATCTTAAAATTAAAAAAATGTTAAAAGTTTGAATTTCCCTCCACTAAGGAAGTTAACCTGTTGGTTGAGCGACCTTTATGGAATCTCGTAAGGGGAGATTTTCGGAAGGGTAGTCTGGCCCCGAGAAGCTTTGAAATCTCTTTTCTTGTAAGATCCTGTAAGACCGAAGTACCACATCCATGCACACACATGCATCCGTGTACATTTCCGCATGACACATAAATGCTAAATTACAAAGTTAGACTTTTCTAATTCTGTTTGCCAGAGAATCCAGGAACTAGAAGCTACTTTGTACAATGCTCTGCAGCAGGAGACTGTTATCAAGTTTGGTGAATTATTAAGTGAGAAACAGCAGGAGGAGCTGAGGACGGCAGTGGAGAAGTTACGGCGGCAAATGCTGAGGAAGAGCAGAGAGTACGACTGTCAGATTCTCCAGGAGAGGATGGAGCTCTTACAGCAAGCCCATCAGGTGAGGATGCGCAGCCAGACTGTGCGGAGCTGCTCCGGAGCAGAGGGGCCTCTGAACAGAGTGCTAACCACACCGTAGCCAGTGTAAGCGTGGACGAGCTCAGGAGATGGAGTTACTGTCAGAGACTCAACTACATAACTGTTGGCTTCCACCTTCTCTCAGACCCAGAATGACAGCTTGGTAATGATTCAACCTTGAGAAAATTAGCATTTCAGAAACACTGCACACTGCTGCTATTTACGGAAACTACTTTGTCAGGAAATACTGCTTGAATCTCATGGGTCCCAATTATTTGCCCTATGTAGGGAAACAGGACATCCTCCATGGCAGAAGTAGTGGTCACCTCCTATACTCATTCCAGTCCACAAGCTAGCCTCATCACATCATCTGAACCAGGAAAAGAGAACAAGGGCCTCTCTCTTTATTCCCAGAACGAACAGTAGCAAAAGCCAGGCCTGGAAGCTGCTGTTTATTTACTGGCATTTGCTGTGTGTCAGGAACTAAGCCAAGGGCTCTGCTTATGTCTCTTCCTTTACTCTCCAAAGTAGCTCATGAGCTAAGTAGTCTTAGCATCCTGATTTTGGAGATAACAAAACTGAAGACAAGAATGGCAAAGTAATTTGTCCAGGATGGCACTAGTAAGCTGCAGAGCCAGGATTACAACACCTGAAGACTTGGGTGTATAACCATTGCACTGTACTGTCATGTGTAGCCTGAGTTATCCATGAATTAGAATATTCATCTAGACCAGCGAAGTTCAAAACAGGCACCCTGTACTCATTCCAACCAAAATTCTTCACTCCAGTTCTTCTTTCCTATCAGAGTTTGACAGGTGAGGGCTAGGGCCATGCTCAAGAAACAGATTCCATAGCAATTATAGAATTGCAAATGCCAGGCTATAGTATTCAGAAGCTGTAACAAGCAACTGGTACAAAATCCAGAGGGGATATGTAGCAGACAAGAATCATGTACTCATGAGAGATCAAGGTGAGTAGAAAAGGAACTGGGGTATTTTATGACACCAATAAGAACAATTTATGGGAACATGATAGTTTCAAGCTTCAGCTGTAGCCAGGAGCTTTATGGATCTATCTAAATTAGCAAATTATTCAAATAGCAGAGAATTCTGACATCATTTGTCCCTGAGATGATACATACATGCACGTTTCTACCAATGTTCCTTCAGAGTTCTTCACAAAAGCTTGAGTTTTGACCAGGGGAAAGAATTTTTTGAGTCCTTGAATAATAAACTCTGGAAGTATTGCATTCCTTCATATTTTTTCTATCGGGGATAAGAGTGTCCTCTGCACAACTTTCTTATACTGCAAGGGTACTTAATTAACTTCAACAAATTAAAACACAAAAGTGCTTATTTTTAAAATGAATTAATAGCTACCTAAATTTATTTATAATAAAGACTTTGTCATTCTATTTGAGTCTCTCTTTAACCTGTTGCTAAGTTACTTCATTCCTGAAATAGTTGGTATTGTTTGTTTAGTTACCCAGTCTGAGCTGATAGGCTCATTACACTCCTGAGCCTCAGAGACGTCCATTGATGTTTTCCATCTGCAAAACAAAAGTTCACTAGAATATGCCTTTGCTAGTTATTTCTTCCTTTTCCTTTTTTATTCACAGTTTTGTTTATGAGAATTATTCCAGAAGGCATTGGCCAGCGTTTGATATTTATAATTACATAATATGGTCTAACGTATAAGCTTATCTTCAAACATTTATTAAACATTTTTGGTTGAGTGTTTCATAGTGAGCTTAAATATGCATTCTTGTCCTTCTCTCCTTTCCCATTTACCCGTCTTGGCCGGAGGAGTCACCACATCCCAAATCTCTCGGGCTGGAAAAGCTGACGCCTTCTCTGCCCTTCACCTCTGAGAATTTTCGTATAGCACCACATCCAGTTGACGTTTCCCCTGAGCCAGTTCTGAAACTGATCCGTTCTGTTCCCACCTGTAACCCAGGCACGGGCAAGACCTTTCATCATTGCAGCAGCTTGCAGGGGCCGCCAGATGTCTGGGATAATCTGACTCCGTCATCCCGCCATCTATTCAGTTAAACGTTTAAATCCGTTTCTCAGGGGCTAGATCCCAGGCTTCACGTAACGATTTCACCATGGACCCTGTCTTCACAAAACTTAGGATCTGTAGATGGAGACAAAGGAAAATAACACCAAGGAAGATGATTATCATATGTCTCGGTAAAGGGCATAAAAATACATGCAGATGCCATGACCTCGTTTTGGGAAAGACTTCTCGCTTTCTTCCGTTTAGCCACCAAGCATCTCACCACAGATTCTTCCCTCTTTTCCTGGTGACGCATCTTATTCAACATGTCAATAACCTCAGTTTCCAGCTGAGTCCACTCCTGTGAGTTCTCATTAGGCCTTTCATTAGCTGGCTTCCCCTCCCCCCACAACCTGAGTTGAGACAGTCTCCATAACATGCTGTCCTCTCCACTCGTGCAGACATTCCCAGTACCCTTGTACCATGATTTCCCACCCCCAGGCTTTCATTAGCTCACCTTATAATGATCTTCAATCTCCAATGCATTGATTCAAGTATTCTCCTTTCTCCAGCCATAGCTTAGGATCCACTTCCTTGAGGATCCTCTCCCTGATGAACAAAATGGAACACACACTGATGAAAACTGTACATGTCATACCACATTGTACACTCATTCAGAACCATTAGTGAGGGCCTGCTGTGTACCAGATGCAGGGAACTGGATAGTGAAAAAAGAGATAAAGCCATTGCTCTCATCTGTCTTATAGGTGGAAAGGAAAAAAGCTCCAACATAAATTAATAATAACTGATACAATTAGAGTAACAATAAGTGCTATGAGGAAATCATACAGTGCATGTGACTGTGTGTGTGTGTGTGTGTGTGTGCGAGAGAGAGAGAGAATTTGGGAGTAGGACTGGCTACTTTGGCCAGATAAGAACTCTCTGAAGATGTATAAAATACAAGGAAGCAACCACATAAGTGCCTTGGCAAAGTGTATCCTTGAAGGTAGGGATAGCAAGAGCAAGTTCTCAGAATGTAAAATGGAAATAAGTTTGTGATATTTGAGGAACAGAGAGAGGCCAGCATGGCGGTGGCACACAGAGCCAGGAATAGGAGGTTAAGTTGGACAGGGTAAGAAAAGACCAGCTCATGAAGGTCCTGCAAGAGTTTGGATTTTACTCTGGGCACAATTCAGCTAACCCTTTCTGCCCTCCTTCCCTACATACCCCCCTTTAAGTCTCAGGAACTTCTATGGTCATTTTCGTATTCTAAGACTTCACAGTGAGTACTGTGGATGGCTCTGGGACGGACAAGCTAAGAGGCAGAAAGAGCCGGTTCTATCAAATACCAGTTCTGACGAGGGATGAGAGTTGCTGGGCGTACTTGCTAGCACTAGAGATAGAAAGCAGTAGTAGAAAGGGAGATTTGTTTTGGACCTGATGAGGTTTCCTGTTGGATCAGATGGCAAAGGGTTGGGAAGGAAAAAGGAGCCAAGCATAGATCATGAATCTGTTTAACAAGTAGGTGTGGGCAGCTGCTCTAAGGTAACCACTGTAGTAGGAATTGGAGATTGGTGATGAAGTGATATATAGGGTATTTACCTTTCTACTTAATTTTCTTACTCCTTCTGTTTTACATTTTTTCCCTCCCCATCTGGATCTGACAGTTCTTTGAGATCAGCAGCCAACTGAAGCTTTCTATATGTTCTCTGTTACGTCCAGCATGTTCTTAAAAAAGTGAGACAGAGACCAACAAGCACAGACTTGATGGCTGAATGGGTATCACGATAATCTCACAGGTCCCACAGCTTTCTCAATTTAACACTTGCCTCCACATCCAGTAAACATGCCAAAAATAACTTGGAAACTCAAGGTGAAAATATTCACAATGTATTATTTTGTCCTGCCTCTTTCAAGCATAGGCAACCAGGTGGATATATCCACCAGCACACACGACACCCAGCAATCATTTTAAGCATTCTCCAGCATTCATTTTAAGCTCAGCTTTGATGGTCTTGCTATTGCCAAACACGATGCCATCCCCTCTCATACAAACCTCAGCCCCTTTCCTTTATAGCAGAGTTTCCCAATTGTAGCACTATTGACATTTAGGGCCACATAATTCCTTATTTCTTATTTGGATGAGACAGAGCAGTCCTGTGCATTGTAGAATGCTTAGTAGCATCCCTGCTGTCTTCCCATTAGATGCTTGTTGAACACACCTCCTGTTGTAACAATAAAAAATGTCCACTTAGATAGTGATGATGGTTATACAGCTTTGTGACTGTGCTATACACCATTGAATCATACACTTGAACATAAAAAATAGACTAACTTTAAAAAAAAAAAAGTTCAGATAGAGCCAAATGTCTCCTGGATGGGAGGAAGACAAAATCATCTTCCCCTCGAGAACCATTATTTTAGGGCGAAGGAGTTATGATTCTCAAATTCAAGTATCGTTTGTCCTCCTTTCTCATTTTGCTCTGCACATTGCATTATAAAAACCTCTCTTTCTATGTTATCAGCCCATTTCACTTCCCAGATTTTCTTCTTAGGCTACAGTTCTCTATTTTCTAACTATTTCCAACACAGGCATGACATAATGAGCCCGCATGGCATAATCCCATGCATGAACATAAAGAGTCTTTAGATTGTCCAAAGAAATGTAAAAGTAATTTTTTCTTACTTGTAAATCATGGGCTATGTAATGCTGACTTCAAATCTGCACTATTTAAATGAGTGGGATTTCATTGCACAGTTGACAGGTAAGTCAAAACAGCTCCAGAGGCTTTTCTCTCGTTAGGGTCGCTACTCCTCTGTTGTAGTTGGGGTTTGTTCCCCCATAGTTTATCAGTTCCCTCCTGGGGATTTGTGTTGAAGTATAATCACTATTTTGTTTCATGAGAATTGGTCAATACCGTTTTGTGAGGAAATTCTGTCCTGAAACACGGTTGAAAGAAGGTTGAAAAGAAAAGTTAGCAAAAGGCAGTAGGCTCAATTACATTTCCATTAGTCAGCTTTAGCCACTTTTAATTTGGTAATAAATAACCATAATCTCAATCCAAGTGATTTACCACAAAGCCATGTTTCTTACTCACTGGGTCAATACATGCTGCTTTCTCTACACCAAAGTGGCTTTCCCACATCTCACTCCAACATGTCCCAGTGGCCACAGACAAGTGCATTGGCTAAACCTGACGTCACTGTGGAGGGATGTGTAACTCTTATAAAGAAGGGGTCTGCATAGATAAGGCCAGTGGAGCGGGGAGACAACTAATGTGGACAATACAGGCAATGCCATTGGCTTTGCACAACAAGCAGGGGTAATTTTTGAACAATAAAAGTCTTTTGAGTATGGAAAAATGAACATGGAATCTTTCTAGCTTCTTGTACTAAAGTTAATGGTTTTACAGATTTTTTTTTTAGTTTGCTGAACAATTTTTCTGTACTGCTTAACATCTACTAATTTTTCTTTCATATTCTGTCTTCAGAGAATCCGAGACTTAGAAGATAAAACAGATATCCAGAAAAGACAAATAAAGGACTTAGAAGAAAAGGTATGTGTTGAGTTTAATATCTGTTTTGTTTTATTTGTTTAATCAGAAGTAATTCTGATTTTGCTTGCTGTGCTTCTATAATTTCTTCTCAGTTATGCATGTCATATAGGCAGGTGTAAGTTACAGTCAACACAGTCATCACCCTCAATCAGGCACCAGGATTCTAGCAAAGGTTCTGCCATCAGTATCATAACCTCGACATTTTTGCATTTTGTGTTGACTCTTACTCTTTTTCTGTATTTTCTTTCTTCAAGCTCCCCCTTCCTCATCTTACTTTCCTTTCCAAAGTTCCTTCTGAGTTTTAATACCCTACTACTTTGTTCTTTGTTTTAAAAATCCTTTTAGTGCCTTCAGTGTGTCGCTTTTTTTTGCCCTCTGATCCTTGTGCTACAGTTTCACCTCAACAGGAAGTTCAGCCTCCTAGGTTGACACACGGTGACTCCGTCCTCTGTCACTTCCTCTGTGATCTGGAAGTGTAACTGGGTCTCCCGAGTCAGCCAGTTGTCTTTTTTGGGGAGTGAGGATGTGGGGGAGGTATAAAACAGTGGTTCTTCAGGAGAATAATTGGAAATGTAGGGGTGGTGGGAGAAGGGATGGACTCCGGAAGGGGTGCCGAGCAGGCTTTAGTGAACTGAACGGTCTGGCCCAGCGAAACTCTGTGCTGCCCGAGACACCAGGGGGTGTCCTGCTGAGGAACACAGCAAGGATGGCAAAGAGGTCTTCTCTCGCATCCCAGCCTGATCGACTCCTGGCAGTTACCTGAATCCGTGCACTGAAAAGGGAAGAAGATAGCAAACCACCTAGCACTCCTGATAAGCAGTTAGAATTGGTTCATCCCAAATCGCTTCTACAGTTTTTCATATATGGGAGGTCAGAGGAAATTGGTGGGGTCTAGTACTGAGATCACCACGCCCCCAGATTCTTATGCAGGTTGGGTCTTTCAGGCACTCATTTGACCTTGGGTGAGTGACGTCACCTCTTTTGTCTAAGTCATTTCTATAAAGGAGGGATAATAACACTTGCTCCTTCCTCCTCTCATGGGTTCCAGGAAAAATAAATGAGTTCACTTATGTGAAAATTAGGAAACACTAAGAAAGGGTAAGTCAAACCAAACAGTATGATTTTAAAATTTCCAATCCTAAAATAGACATTGTCTACAAAATTTTAAATGTGAATTTCCCTCATTTCAGAAGTGGGCTATTTAGTTCTTCAGGATTGAGTGAAGCCAAGGTAAACTACAATAAACTGAGGATGGAGTCTAGTTTCCTAGTGATTGGCAGGCAGACCCACAGTTGGCAACTTCCCTGGTTGCCGAAGGACGGATGCAACTCTTGCATCTTTTGTGTTTTTGAATGCCCCGCTCTCAGACATTCTTTCTGCTAATTCATAAACTGTCCTGGACCAGCTCAAGGAGGAAGTCACAGTTAAGGTAGTCTGGCTCTAAAACATTATCATGCCACTCATTCCCCCATTCAGCTGAAGATAGAGAGGGATTTTAAAATATATAGTAAATATTACCACTCTAGTTATTCTCTAAATAAATCCCAACGGGAAATTTGAGAGAAATGATTATGTCCACTGTCAACATCAATGTGAACTTCTCACAATTCTTTTGCTTAATATATTTTGTATATTTGAACTTCCTGAGCATTTATGATAATGGGGTAATGTACTTAATAGAAAATCATGATCTTTAGTTATAAAAGCTGCATATTCTACGTATGACAGTAAAGTGAACCACACCACAAACAATCCATTTGACTTCTGACTTCAGATCTGCATGGACTATGAGATTTTAATACACTTTCTATTTCCTTGACTCAGTTCTGCTTGTCCTCCAGACTAAAGAATGGAGAGTTGTCTGCTTTTGATTATGTTTGTTTTAATTATAGACCCTGAAATCAGTAATTATGTAGGTATTCTACTTACCACCAAATGTCCCTTCTAAATGAATTTCAATTAATATGAATTAAAGTCTAAAAAGAATAAAATAAAATAAGAATGTTAAAGATCACTTATGTCAGAGATATTTCTTCATTCTTTCCCTTGAGGATATATGATAGTCATTCTTTCTTGCTCATTTCCATGCACACAGTTAGTATGTATCAATTGATGACAACAAATGTGTTGAAACAAAAAAATTGTTTCAGCAGTATGCAGCACTTCACCACATCCAAACCATCTCATTTGGTTCTCATAATTATCCCGCAAGACTGACACAGCAGATGTTATTATCCTTTTTTATATAGATAATAAAACAGTAAGTCAAAGAGGTTAGACAGTTTGCCCAAGGCTATCGTTCCGATCTAAAGTAAATCAAGCCCAGAGATTAGGGTGTCTGGCCTTTAATCTGCTCACCACCCTGCAGGGACCAAAAATCTCATTACAGTCTAAGAGACGGTCACCACCTCATGCCCACAGAGGTAGCTCTGAGGTCTGATCTTCTCATGGGAATAGTAGAAGCCTTCCATTCCTCTTCTTTTTTAGCTTCTCCTACTTACAGATATAACTCCAGGGAATGAAAGAAAGAAAAACAGGGTGTCTGTTTTTCAGGATATTGGGTTAGTCATCGATACATAGCTCTTGGCACCATATTTATAGAATTCAGCCATCATGAAGCAAGAAACATAAGCAGTGGCAGCAAAGAAAACATGCAAAAATATGCACAATATGAGAATGTCATACATGACCCCTGTTAAAAGATGTTGTGTCCAACAGATGTTCCTGGAGTATCATAATCAAGCCAGAGACTCACTGACTCTGTGAAAGTAAACCATCAAGAAAATCAATATTTTTTTAAAAGTGACATGGCTTGTGCTTGTCTGTCCAGTTACCTGCTTCTGAAGTGATTTCTTCTGGTAAAGAAGAAACAAACCAAACCCCATGTAACTCTATGAGTGAAATAAGGAGACCTCTATCTCAGAGGCACACAGTTGAAAATCAAACATACATTGTCTGAAGCACCCACTGAACTTGACACATATTTCATACCAATAGGATTATCACACATCCTCATTTGCATGGGGCAGACCCAGTTTATACCTTGGTATAATTGATTTTTATTAATTACTAATAGCACCCATTTCCCTCTCAGAAGTGCTCTACTATGGATAAGTAATCATGTTTACTGCATATATTAATACTCCTCTATGCTTTAGTCTAAAACTTATCACATTAACCAACAATGATAACATCACATGATTACACATTTGTATTGGAATACCATATCATACATGAAATATAGAGATAATATAACAAAGCAGGACTCAAGTTATCTAAGCTCTAGTCCTTACTGTGTCATGAACTGATGTAAAAACTATTGGTTTTGTACTTGTGTGCCTGCTTTTCTCATCTATAAGATTAGGTGCTTAGACCAATTATCTATAAGACCCCTTCATAGTTCTAAAATATATGAATTAATGTTAGTTGCACACAGCATAGCTCTGCAAGTAAGTAGATAAATGGAAGGTATGAAATGTTGGAACAAAAAGGGCAGTTAATATGTAGATAAAAAGTTGTCCGACTTGAAAAATAAGGAATACTGAGGTTTTGTACTACCTGAATGGCGCTACAGAAATTCAGATTTTCATAATCTTCTTCTTTTTCTTCTGCAGTTTCTGTTTCTATTCTTGTTCTTCTCTCTTGCCTTTATTCTATGGCCTTGATGTCAAGGTGCCTCTTAAAGGTAAGATTCCATTTAATTTTCCAAAATGTGATTTTAGGAGGTGTTTGATAAGGATAGTGCATACAGTTATTATGTCATGTTTGACTAAAAAAATGAGCACCTTTGGTTTGTTGAGCTTCAGTGTCATGAATGGACAAACATACCAATCCGTTTGGGTGATTATTAAAAAAATAAAAATTATGAATTATGTTGAGAATGTAGAATTTTTTTTCCACTCACTGTTTCACTTTGAGAAGTCACTATGCCTGTGAATCTCGGTATTCTCATTATAATCCCTCGTAACACAGAAAGAGTTGTTTCTGTATATGCAAAGTGAAGAAGCATGACTGTGTCTTCAAGCTTCCAGCTTGAAAATTCTGATGCTGTGAATGTAAGAAGCCATTAATGACTGCTGTTTGTTCAGCCCTTTTTTCCCAGTCTCTCTTCATCAGAATTCAGAAAAGCAGGTTACTTAACTGAAATTGGATTGTATTTTCAAATAAGTCACTTTTCAATGTCAATTTGACAAAAAAAAGTCTTTTTATTACCAAGCCCATGTCTCATGAATACATGAATATGTAATCCTATCCAGTGATCCCTGTGCTCACCTCAGACTTAATGAATCAAATCACTGGGGATGGAGGCAAGACACGGTGGGAGAGGTGGAAAGCAGGGATTGGTCTCTATTTAACAAGCATGCCAGGTGATTTTCATGTACAGCCAGGTATGGAAACCCCAAATCTCAATACCATTGTGAAAACGAGAGAGGCCTAGCTCCTATTCTAAATCCATTTATCATGGCTCATGTCAACTTTAGTCTATTAAGTTATATCAGGCAGAGATCTTTCCTGTGCCTTTTTTTTTTTTTAACCATTTTCTTTAGCAAGATGAAAAAGAGAGAGAGATTCTCTGTCTCACTCCATGGATATCAACTCTGGTGCCTGGATGTGTTACAGACTAGTAGAAATGCTTTAGCGTGAGCTGATAGAGTTCAGCAGATATGCCTGGGAAATTTATGATCTCTATAACCAACTCTCTGGCTTTGTGCCTTCTTCTTGACTTTTGTCTGTGAGCAGGGTGATAGCCTGCAGCACACAAAGAAGCGCACCAGGTCTCTAAAGCTGAAGGAGAGGATCTGAGTTAGAAGGCAGGAGAGTCTCTAGGAAGGGATCAGAATAGCCAGAGCATCGCCCCCAAAACACAACAAAGAAACTGAATAAATGAAGTTTGGTAAGAGGTGATACATGGTGAGCTTAGAGAAGGAGAACTCAAACCTTATGAAAACTAGTTATGAAATGACGAGGTTTCAGCAATATCATCAGTGATAAGTAGCTATTGTGTATTGAGAGCCATTCTAAACAATAGAACCGCAACTTTCACAAAACCACCTGTGAGGTAGGTAGGTATTTTATTCCTATTTTACAATTGTAGAAACTGCAGCACGTGACTTTACCAAGCCCATACAACTATACCTGGCAGGACTGGGGTTTATTCCCAGGCAGCCTCACTCCAGAGTCCTTTTTGAACTACCATCCTGGCTCACCAATGACATAAGCAGCATTATGTATGAGAAATCAGGCCATCTTCCATTTGCATAGCTCTCTTTAGCTGTTAGCTTTTAAATTACAGGATGCTCAGCTCTATATCTTTCCCATTTTATGCTACTCCTTGAATGATAAACAAGATTTGATTTGTTTTTCCTCTAAAGCAGCATACAGGGAACACTTAGTAATTATGTGTTACATTAAAGACTATAAAGACAATAAATAATAGCATAGTAAATTAGCATTACAATGGATCTGGGCAGTATAACATGTACACAGGAAAAATAAGTAGTTTAGATTGTACAGACTTAAAGTCAAATACACTTTTGAGTTGAAATCTTGACATTTATTACTTGTTGGTAAGCAGTTCATTTAATGTATCTGAAATTAGGTTTCCTATTCCATAAAAATTATTATAATCATGGTATCGTATTGAATGTTGTGCTGAGAATTAAATGAGGCTATGCATTTAAAAGACTTATCACATTACCTGGAATAGTTAAAAAATCAGCAACTATTAGATATTATTATTAAAATGTTATCTATCACATTTACTAAGTTTGCAAATACTTAAGTTCAAAAATCTAGCCTCTAGTATTTCCAAGTTGTTACAATTTCCTAAATTCAAAGAGTAGTTGCTCTTCATCTCTGCTTTTTAGGTAATAATCTGCATTTAAATAATATAAGGAATAAAATATTACTGAAAACTGATTCATGGTACTTATGTCTCCAAAGTAGGCAAGAGAGTGATAAGAACAAGGAAGGAAGGCCTTGGTTTTTTGTCAAGTAGTAAAAGCATTCTGCAAACAACCATGAAAATTTCTTCTGTACTAAATTAATGATCTATGTTCTTCTAATAAACCCAAGATATTATTACTTAATATTACTACTTGAATAAAATGTAAAGATACCCTTAATAAAATGGAATGACTCATTTTCTCTTAGCAATTACCTGAATCATCATTGTCAGTGGTGATATAGAAGCTACCAAAAAGCTTCCCAGAAGGCACCCTTACTGCACTCAGTGCTTGCTGATGAAATAACTGAGTTGCAGGTATTATATTGGGACTTTACCTTAGACTGGGGGATTCAAGTAGTTCCAGGAAATATCATCTGACCATGCCTTCTCTTTATTCCAAATGAGCAGTGTACTACTATATCAGTCGGGCTTCTCCAAAGAAGTAGAACCAATAAGAGGTAGATGGATGGATGGGTCAATAGATGGTTGGATAGACAGACAGGTAGATATATACTCATATATGACAGGGGACTTATTAAAGGAAATGGCTCAGATGATTATGAAGGCTGGAAGTGCCCTGTGGACTATTTGCAAGTCAGAGAAGCAGAGAAGCCATTGAGTGGCTCAGTACAAGTCAGAAGGCCTACAAACAAAGGAGACCAGTGGTGGAACTCTCGTCCAAAGCCAAACACCTCAGAGCCCCAGGATGCCAGTGGTGCAAGCTCCAGAGTCCAGAGACTACAGACTGTGGGATTCTGATACCTAATTCATCCTCTGCTCCTCCTGGATTAATCATCTCTCCATAGGCCCTGTTTCCTAACACTGTTGTACTGAAGATTAAATTTTTTAATGAATTAATTAATTAATTTGAAAGGCAGAATTACAGCTACGGAAGGAGACACACACACACACACACATCTTCCATTTGCTGATCACTCCCCAGATTGCTGCAATGGCCATTGCTGCTCCAGGCTGAAGCCAGGAGCCTGAAGCTCCATCTGGGTCTCCCATATGGGTGTCAGGAGCTCAAGTACTTGGGCCATCTACCTACACTTTCCCAGGTCATTTGTAGGGAGCTGGATCAGAAGTGAAGCAGGGGTCAATGCTGTGGCATGGCAGATACAAGCTGCTGCATGCAGTGCCAGTTTGAGTCCCAGTTGCTCCACTTCTGATTCTGCTCCCTGCTAATGGCCTGGAAAACAGTGAAAGATGGCCAAAGTTCTTTGTCTCCTGCACCCAAATGAGAGACACAGAAGAAGCTCCTGGTTCCTGGCTTCGGCCTGTCCTAGCTCCAACCATTGCAGCCATTTGGGAAGTGAGCCAGTGGATGGAAGACCTCTCTTTCTCACTCGCTCTCGCTCTCTAACTCTGCCTTTCAAATAAATAAATAAATATTAAAAGAAAAAGACAGTAAGGACTAGAACCAGGCACATGTAGGATACTGACATTGCAGAGACTTAATCCAGTATATCACAACCCCAGGCCTAAGGTTCAGTGTTTAACACTTGCTTTTGGAGGACACACAAGAGCCAGAGAAAATTCCAATCATTCTACTTTGCACAGTTACTTAGTGAGACAAAGAAAAAAATCGGAGCAGAAAATAGTCATCACTAGATTAGTTCTTTTATACAATTTATAATGACCCATTGAAAAAAGCTCCTGTTCCGAGCAGAAAAGGGTTAATCAAGAACATGGTAGCACCACATTTAATCACTGTGACTTTGTGAGGACCAAAAAACAGTTGATCATGATTACATACATACTTTGAACAGTTTCATTTTTTAAATTTTGAAAAAAAAATTATACATATTTATGGGGTACAATATGATGTTTCAATACATGTACACATTATACAGTTTGATTCAGGATAAACATAGCTATCTTCTCAAATTTATCATCTCATTTTGGTGAAAATATTCAAAATCCTCTCTTCTAGCTTTAGATAAATACACATACATGTACACACATATACATATGTATGTACATAAAAACACTGTCATCTATAGAACAGAATGCCAGAACTCCTTTTCTTTGTGTAACTGTAGCATAGCACCTCTTTACCAATAGTTCCCCCTCCTCCCCTCCCTGCCATTCTCAGCCTCTGATAAACACCACTTTACTTTCACTTTCTATGAGGTTTTTTGTTTGTTTGTTTGTTTGTTTTTGTTTTGTTTTTTGTTTTGTAGATTTCACATGACTGGGATCAAATGATCCTGGTGTTAGTTCAGTTTAAATGACACTGCTCTAGTATTGACCATGATACTAGAAAGCTCCATGTTTTTACTCCCTGGCCAGTATCTTAAAGCACATAATACGCTATTGCAATTTTAATGCAAAAAAAAAAATTAGTATGCTAAAAATTCATAGTTGATTGGTTACACATGCTCTGTTAAAATACACAAAGCTTTACTTTTTGTTTCATTTATATTTTTTCAGTTCCATCTTCCACCCATGACAATAGATCAGTGGAAAACAAATGGCCACACAACCAATCTGTGTTATTTGTCATCTAAAATGGAATTTTGCTCTGTTATTTTATATTATTAAAGAAAGTCTATAAGATGAATGATTATATGCCAGCAAATCATTCTGTTCTTTATGTCAATATATCTAGTAGCCTTTATTCGGTCACATTAAAATTATTCCCTGTCTCACAAATTGGACATTAATATATCACAGAGTAGTGTTTATGCTTTATATGTCTTTGTGTTTTCAGTGTCTATGACAATATATACTAG